CACGGCTCCCAGGTCCCTGACACGCGTCAGGTAGGGTGTGGGGGTGCATTCAGACGAGCAGGTGGCGTACACGTGTCTGCAGGGGGTGGAGGTCATCTATGGATATCTCTATACCTATTTTGAAAGGATGCATCTAGGCTGCAGAATGAATGCACTTGAGCTGCCACAGCTGAATGCTGATTTTCATTGCAGGGAGTTGTAGTTTCCCCAAGGTCTGTGTTGCCTCCCCTGCTCTGAGTGCTTTGGAACTGAATGCAGGTCAATTCCACTGAGCCAGTTTTAAGTGCTTCCAAGTGCCATTCATTCTACACTGTATAATAATAATAATAATAATAATAATAATAATAATAATAATAATAATCTGCAGTGCATTATTATTATTACTATTACTATTATTATTATTATATCACTGAGCAAGTTTGAGTAGTTCCAAGTGCCATGCGTTGTTGTTGTTGTTGTTGTTGTTGTTGTTGTTGTTATTACCTACAGTGTATTGTTATTGTATTATTACTATTTGGTAGTTCAACTGCTACTAAGTGCCATTCATTTTGCAGTGTATTATTATTATTATTATTATCTGCAATGCATTATTATTATTATTATTATTATTATTATACGACTGAGCAAGTTTAAGTAGTTCCAAGTGCAATGCATTATTATTATTATTATTATTATTATCTACAGTGTATTATTGCTGTATTATTATTTTCCCCTGAATAAGTTTAAGTGCTACCATGAATTCTACAGTGTATTATTATTATTATTATTATTATTATTATTATTATACCACTGAGCAAGTTTAAGTAGTTCCAAGTGCCATGCATCATCATCATCATCATCATCATTATTATCTACAGTGTATTGTTATTGTATTATTACTACTTGGTAGTTTTAAGTGCTACCAAGAGCCATTCATTTTCCAGTGTATTATTATTATTATTATAGAGCTGAGCAAGTTTCAGTAGTTCCAAGTGCCATGCATTATTATTATTATTATTATTATTATTATTATTATTATTATTATTATCTACAGTGTATTGTTATTGTATTATTACTACTTGGTAGTTTAAGTGCTACCAAGTGCCATCCATTTTGCAGTGTATTATTATTATTATTATTATTATTATTATTATCTGCAATGCATTATTATTATTATTATTCTACCACTGAGCAAGCTTCAGTAGTTCCAAGTGCCATGCATTATTATTATTATTACTACTATTATTATCTACAATGTATTGTTATTGTATTATTACTACTTGGTAGTTTAACTGCTACCAAGTGCCATTCATTTTGCAGTATATTATTATTATTATTATTATTATTATTATTATTATTATTATTATTATTATTATTATTATTATTATTATTATTATTACCTCTAGTCTAGTTTAGGTGCTACCAAGTGCCATTCATTTTGCAGTGTATTATCTGCAATTTATTATTATTATTATTATTATTATTATTATTATTATCTACAGTGTATTATTACTGTATTATTACTATTTTCCACTTAATAAGTTTTAAGTCCCAACAAATGCCATTCATTCTGCAGTGTATTATTATTATTATTATTATTATTATTATTATTATTATTATTATTATACCATTGAGCAAGTTTAAGTAGTTCCAAGTGCCATGCATCACCATTATTGTTATTATCTACAGTGTATTATTATTATTTTCCGCAGAATAAGTTTAAGTGCTACCAAGTGCCGTTAATTCGACAGTGTATTATTATTATTATTATTGTACCACTGAGCAAGTTTAAGTAGTTTCAAGTGCCATGCATTATTATTATTATTATTATTATTATTATTATTATTATTATCTACAGTTTATTATTACTGTATTATTACTATTTTCCTCTTAATAAGTTTAAATGCCACCAAATGCCATTCATTCTGCAGTGTATTATTATTATTTTTATTATTATTATTATTATCTGCATTATTATTATTACTATTATTATTATTATACCACTGAACAACTTTAAGTAGTTCCAAGTGCCATGCATTATTATTATTATTATTATTATTATTATTATTATTATTATTATCTACAGTTTATTATTACTGTATTATTACTATTTTCCCCTTAATAAGTTTAAGTGCCACCAAATGCCATTCATTCTGCAGTGTATTATTATTATTATTATTATTATTATTATTATTATTATCTCATTATTATTATTGTTATTGTTATTATTATTATTATTATTATTATTATTATACCACTGAGCAAGTTTAAGTAGTTCCAAGTGCCATGCATCATCATCATTATTGTTATTATCTACAGTGTATTATTATTATTATTATTACTATTATTATTATTTTCCCCAGAATAAGTGCTACCAAGTGCCATTAATTTGACAGTGTATTATTATTATTATTATTATTATTATTATTATTATTATTATTATTATTATACCACTGAGCAAGTTTAAGTAGTTCCAAGTGCCATGCATCATCATCATTATTGTTATTATCTACAGTGTATTATTATTATTATTATTACTATTATTATTATTTTCCCCAGAATAAGTGCTACCAAGTGCCATTAATTTGACAGTGTATTGTTGTTGTTGTTGTTGTTGTTGTTGTTGTTGTTGTTGTTGTTGTTGTTATTGTTATTGTTATTATTATACCACTGAGCAATTTTAAGTAGATCCAAGTGCCATGCATTATTATTATTTTCGACAGTGTATTATATTATTGTTGTTGTTGGAGGCTTTCATGGAGGCTTTCATGGCCGGAATCACTGGGTTGCTGTAAGTTTTCCGGGCTGCCTGGACATGTTCCAGAAGCATTCTCTTCTGACGTTCTGCCTACATCTATGGTAGGCATCCTCAGAGGTTGTGAGTTTTGATGGAAACTAGGCAAGTGGGGTTTATCTATCTGTGGAATAATGTCCAGGGTGGGAGAAAGAACTCTTGTCTGTTGGAGGCAAGTGTGAATGTTGCAATTGGCCACCTTGATTAGCATTGACGCCTTTCAGCTTCAAAGCCTGGCTGCTTCCTACCTGGGGGAATCCTTTGTTGGGAGGTTTCCGATCCCTTCCCAACTTTGGACTTTGCGTCCTCATTTTCTCGCTGATCCAATGTGGTTTCCTCCATCGCTCATGCGTTGTATTGACAAGATGATGGAGCTGTGCGCAGAATTGCTGACCGGGGCTCCTTCGTTAGCATGACGAGCCCATTAGGACCGAGGCCTGGCTCCCCAGGGCAAGACACCCGGGCAACTTGTCTATCTTTGATAGATTAGGGTCCTCTTGCAAAAGGAGAAATGGCTTCCAGAACTGCCTGGGTTTGCACTTTGGGGGGTGGGGGGCTCTTTCTTTCCTTCCTCCTTTTCCCTCATACACCTTCTCCCTCTCTCTTTTCCACCTTCCTTTCTTTCTTCATTTGCTTTCCTTCATACACTTTTCTCCCTTTTCCTTCCTTCTTTTCTCCTTCCTTCCCTCTTTTTCTTTTCCTTCCTCTTCTCCTTTCCTTCCTTCCGTCTTTCCTTCTTTCCTTTCCTCCTTCTCTTCCTTTCCTTCTTCCTCTTTCCCTTCTTCTTTCTTTCCTTTTTCCCTCTTTCTCTTCCCCTTTCCTTCCTTCCTTCCTTCCTTCCTTTATTTCCTCTCCCTTCTTTTTATTTTTTTTCTTCCCTTCCTCCTTCCTTTCTCTTCCACTTTTTCCTTCCCTCCCCCCTTCATCCCTTCTTTTCTCTTTTCTCTCTTCTTTCTTTCTTCTCCTTCTTTTCCCCTTTCCTTCTCCTCCCTTCTTTTCTTCCTTCCTTCCTTTCCTCCTTTTTTTTCCTTCCTCCCTCCTCCTCCTTTTTCCTTCTTCTCCTTCCTTTCTTCTTCTCTTCCTTCCTTCCTTCTTTTTTTCCTTCTTCATCTCCTTCCCCCTTCCTTTCTCTTCCTTCTTCCTTCCTTCCTTCCTTCCTTCCTTCAGTCCTTCCTTCTTCCTTCCTTCCTTCTTCTTTTCTTCCTTCCTTCTCCTTCCTTCTTTCCCTCTTCCCTCCCACTTTCTCTTCCCTTCTTTTCTTTTCCTTCCTCTTTTTCATCCTTCATTTCTCTTTCTTTCCTTCCTTCTTTTCTTTTTCCTTCCTTCCTTCCTTCCTCTTTCTCTCTTCCTTTCTTCTCTTTCTTTCTTCTTTCTTTCTCTCTCTCTTCTCTTTCTTCTTTCTTCTTCCTTCCCTTCCTCCTTCTCTCTTCCTTCTTTTCTTCTTTCTTTCTTCTTTCATTCCTTCCTTCCTCCCTCCCTCCCTCCCTCCCTCCCTCCTTCCTCCCTCCCTCCCTCTCCCCTCCCTTCCTTCCTTCTCTCCTTCCCTTTTTTATTTCTTCTTTCTTTCTTTCTTCCTTCCTTCCACCTTCCTTCCTTCCTTTTCCTCCCTTCTTCCCTTCCTTTCCCTCCCTTCTTTTTATTTTTTCCTTTACCTTCCTTCATACCTTCCCCCCTTTCTTTCCTTTTCCTTCATCTGGCCTTTTTTTTGAAGTCACACTCTCTCAGCCTCAGAGCAAAGCTCAGGCACACACAACACACATCCCTTCCAAAATAAAAATGGCCATTAGCTTGCCTTTCTATCTCTATACTGCCCTCCTTTGGTTGTGTTTGAGCATTGCATATATACATTTCTATAAGCTTTCTATCAATATATTGCCATAGCTGAAACCCCACAACTATTTTAAACCCAGGTAATGAAAGGTACGTGTGCCACGTTTGATACAGATCCAACGAGCCACAGAGGAGCCTTTGTGGCACAAACAAACAAACAAAGCAGTAAACATACCGTACAGTATACACTTTGACTGCAGAGTCTTGGTCACTGTTAGCAGAGATTTAACAGACACAACACCCCAAAATACTGCAGAGTCTTGATCACTGTTAGCAGAGATTTAACAGACACAACACCCCAAAATACTGCAGAGTCTTGGTCACTGTTAGCAGAGATTTAACAGACACAACACCCCAAAATACTGCAGAGTCTTGGTCACTGTTAGCAGAGATTTAACAGACACAACAGACACAACACCCCAAAATACTGCAGAGTCTTGATCACTGTTAGCAGAGATTTAACAGACACAACACCCCAAAATACTGCAGAGTCTTGATCACTGTTAGCAGAGATTTAACAGACACAACACCCCAAAATACTGCAGAGTCTTGATCACTGTTAGCAGAGATTTAACAGACACAACACCCCAAAATACTGCAGAGTCTTGGTCACTGTTAGCAGAGATTTAACAGACACAACACCCCAAAATACTGCAGAGTCTTGATCACTGTTAGCAGAGATTTAACAGACACAACACCCCAAAATACTGCAGAGTCTTGGTCACTGTTAGCAGAGATTTAACAGACACAACACCCCAAAATACTGCAGAGTCTTGATCACTGTTAGCAGAGATTTAACAGACACAACACCCCAAAATACTGCAGAGTCTTGGTCACTGTTAGCAGAGATTTAACAGACACAACACCCCAAAATACTGCAGAGTCTTGATCACTGTTAGCAGAGATTTAACAGACACAACACCCCAAAATACTGCAGAGTCTTGATCACTGTTAGCAGAGATTTAACAGCAAAACCTCTATGTTGTGCTGACCCCCACTTATATTTTATAGTTTGCTTGCGTACAGGTGAAGACCCATTTTCCTTGGCTGCTCTTTGCACATTTGTCATATTTGCAGTGTTGAGTGTGAACAAGGGAAGGATCCCAGCCAAACAATGCGCATGGGATTAAAATCTCCTCCTTGAAAAAATCACCAACCTGTCAGGACAGGTTAGGCATTGGGACAAGGATGTGTTTTTCTATAGAGAAAGGTGTCATGTGCAAAAGGGAAGCATTGCCTTCAGGGCGGCAATGCAAACTCAAAAAACAATGAAGCCGTTGATTGGGGGTCAGCACAACATAGAAGCGTGCTGTTTAATCTCTGCTAATAGTGACCAAGACTCTGCAGTATTCTGGGAATTTTCCATCGAGAAAGGTGTCATGTGCAAAAGGGAAGCATTGCCTTCAGGATGGCAATGCAGACTCAAAAAACAATGGAGCCGTTGATTGGGGCTCAGCACAACATAGAGGCTGTGCTGTTAAATCTCTGCTAACAGTGACCAAGACTCTGCAGTATTTTGGGAATTTTCCATAGAGAAAGGTACCATCTGCGAAAGGGAAGCATTGCCTTCAGGGCGGCAATGCAGACTCAAAAAACAATGGAGCCGTTGATTGGGGGTCAGCACAACATAGAGGGTGTGCTGTTAAATCTCTGCTAACAGTGACCAAGACTCTGCAGTATTTTGGGGACCAGAACTAGCTGTTTGCCTTGGAGAGGCTCCATCTCACTGCGTGAGAGGAGCCATGGATTCAAATGGCAGGAAAGGAGATCCCACCTAACTATTAGGAAGAGTTTCCTGGTAGTAAAAGCTGCTTGAGAGTGGAATATGCTGCTGCCTAGGAGTCCGGTGGAATCTCGTTCTCTCAATGAGTTTAAGTGCTTCCAAGTGCCATTCATTCTACAATGTATCATCATCATCATCTAGAGCAGTGTTTCTCAACCTTCCTAATGCTGTGACCCCTTAATACGCAGTGGGATGGAGCCTCTCCAAGGCAAACAGCTACTTCCGACCCCCAAAATACTTCAGAGTCTTGGTCACTGTTAGCAGAGATTTAACAGCACAGCCTCTATGTTGTGCTGACCTCCTTCCCTCCCTTCTTCCTTTCTTCTTTCATAGGGCTCAAGAGGGAGAGTAAACAGACACAACACCCCTGCAAGGTAGACCTGATAATTCCTCCTCTCACACAGTGGGATGGAGCCTCTCCAAGGCAAACAACTAGTTCTGATCCCCGAAATACTGCAGAGTCTTGGTCACTGTTAGCAGAGATTTAATAGCACAGCCTCTTATGTTGTGCTGACCTCCAACCATATTTTCGTTGCTACTTCAGAACTGTCATTTTGCTTCTGATATGAATTGTAATGTAAATATAGAAGCACTTAAACTCGTGCATGGAGATTCCACCAGACTCCTAGGCAGAATATTCCACTCTCAAGCAACTTTTACTATCAGGAAGCTCTTCCTAATATTTAGGTGGGATCTCCTTTCCCGCCGTTTAAATTCATGGTTCTTCTCACGCAGTGGGATGGAGCCTCTCCAAGGCAAACAGCTAGTTCCAATCCCCGAAATACTGCAGAGTCTTGGTCACTGTTAGCAGAGATTTATGATTTAACAACACAGTCTCTATGTTGTGCTGACCCCAGGATGTATTTTCATTCATTGGACCAAATTTGGCACAAACAGTTGATATGCCCAAAAAGGGATGGGGGGGGGGGGGTTGATTTTGTCACTTGGGAGTTGTAGTTGCTGGGATTTATAGTTCACCTACAATCAAAGAGCATTCTGAACTCCACCAATGATGGAATTGAACCAAACTTGGCACACAGAACTCCCATGACCAACAGAAAACTGAAGGGTTTAGTGGGCATTGACCTTGAGTTTGGGAGTTGTAGTTCACCTACATCCAGAGAGCACTGTGGACTCAAACAATGATGGATCTGGACCAAACTTGGCACATATACTCAATATGCCCAAATGTGAACACTGGTGGAGTTTGGAGAAGAGACCTTGACATTTGGGAGTTGATGGTTGCTGGGATTTATAGTTCACCTACAATCAAAGAGCGTTCTGAACACCACCAACAATGGAATTGAACCAAACTGGCACACAGACTCCCATGAAGAACAGAAAATATGGTGGGCATTGACCTTGAGTTTTGGAGTTGTAGTTCACCTACATCCAGAGAGCACTGTGGACTCAAACAACGATTGATCTGGACCAAACTGGGCACGAATACTCAATATGCCCAAATGTGAACACTGGTGGAGTTTGGGGAAAATAAACCTTGACATTTGGGAGTTGTAATTGCTGGGATTTATAGTTCACCTACAATCAAAGAGCATTCTGAACTCCACCAATGATAGAATTGAACCAAACTTGGCACTCAGAACTCCTGATGTAGACACACAATCACAATAATGCCTTGCTTTGTTATCATTTTTCAAGGGACGACAGAGGACATGTGAACCCAAAGAAGTGACCTTTGAAGACGTGGCGGTCAGTTTCTCCGTCGAGGAGTGGTCCGCCTTGCAGGGCTGGCAGAAGGCGCTGCACAAAGAAGTGATGCTGGAGAACTACTCTCTGCTATTTTCTTTGGGTAAAAGCTATATTTTCGGTATTGCCAAGGCTAATATGTCTTGGATGCTAAGCAGGGCCAGCCTTGGTTAGTGTTTGGATGGGAGACCGACTGTTGCGCTTCAATGGCAAATCCCTTTGAGCCACACCACTCTTTTCCTCTTTCATGTACAGGCCATTCCATCCCGTCAGTGGAGTTTTCTGACTTAATCTCCCAACTGGAAGGGACCATTGAGGGCCAGAAACTTGTACGGGCTGTTGGAGAAGAGCAATGCCAAGGTAAGTAGTCATATCATCTAATTCAATGGAGTTAAACTGCATTATATGAGTCTACATTGACCATATAATGCAGTTCAGTCTGCATGATAACGTCAGTGTAGGTCCAGCCTTAGGCCCCTTCTACACGACCATATAAAATCCAGATTATTTTCTTTGAACTGGATTATATTGCAGTGTAGACTCATATAATCCACTTCAAAGCAGATAATGGGGATTATCTGATTTGATAATCTGGATTACATGTCAGTGTAGGAGGGGATTATAGGGGCCCCTTTTGCACAGCCATATAATCCAGTTTCAGAATGCAGATTAATTGCATTGAACTGGATTATATGACAGTGTAGACTCAGGCTGGATCCTGTATTTGACCCCGGATTATCTGCTTTGAACTGGATTATATGAGTCTACATTGCCATATAATCCAGTTCAAAGCAGATAATCTGGATTATCTGATTTGATAATCTGGATTATATGGCAGTGTGAATGGGGATTCAGGACCCAACACTGCCAAATAAAATCCACATTATCTGCTTTGAACTGGATTATATGGCAGTGTAGACTCATATAATCCAGGTCAAAGCAGATAATGTGGATTTTCTGATTTGATAATCTGGATTATATGGCAGTGTAGAAGGAGAAACATCGGCCCCATCATTACTTCCATATAAAATCCAGATTATCTGTTTTGAACTGGATTATATGGCAGTGTAGACTCATATAATCCAGTTCAAAGCAGATAACGTGGATTCAGATTATCTGCTTTGAACTGGATTATATTAGTCTACATTGCCATATAATCCAGTTCAAAGCAGATAATCTGGATTTTATATGGCAGCATGGATTGGGCCTCATCTGATCCTAATGGGTTCGATAATAAAATCCAGATTACCTGCATTGAACTGGATTATATAGCAGTTTAGACTCATATAATCCAGTTCAAAGCAGATAATGTGGATTTTCTGATTTGATAATCTGGATTTTATGGCAGTGTAGAAGGGCCTTAGAAAGGATGCTGTGGGATCCCTTTTGCACAGCCATATAATCCAGTTTCAGAATGCCAATTAGCTGCATTGAACTGTATTATATAACAATGTAGAGTCAGGCTGGATCTACACTGCTTTGTAATCCTGTATTTGACCCCAGATTATTTTTGAACTGGATTATATGAGTCTACACTGACATATAATCCAGTTCAAAGCAGATAATCTTTATTTTATATGGCAGCATGGATTGGGCCTCATCTGATCCTAATGGGTTCAATAATAAAATCCAGATTACCTGCTTAGAACTGGATTATATGGCAGTTTAGACTCATATAATCCAGTTCAAAGCAGATAATAAGGACCGGGTTGTGGCGCAGCTGGTTAGGAGTCAGCTGCATTAAAATCACTACTGACTGAGAGGTCATGAGTTTGAAGTCAGCCCGGGTCAGAGTGAGCTTCCGGCCATTTGTCTAGCTTGCTGTTGACCTTTACACCCTGAAAGACATTTTAAACTCCATGTTATGGGATCATAGGAGTTGTAGTTTGACAAGGTCTTCATCTTTGGAGCAGGTTGTAGCGCAGCTGGTTGGGGAGTCGGCTGCATTAAAATCACTACTGACCAAAAAGGCATGAGTTCAAAGTTGGAGTAAGCTCCCAACCATTTGTCTAGCTTGCAGTCGACCTTTGCAGCCTGAAAGACAGGTGCATCTGTCAAATAGGAAATTTAGATACCGTTTTATGCAGGGAGGCTAATTTAACTAATTTATGACACATAAAACTCTCCAGTGTGCAAAAGAATGAGGAAGTACTCCATGGGTGTCACAAGTGGATGGTGAAACAACAGCTCCCCTGGTGGCCGGAATTCAAAAAGCATGAAGCTGGAATGTTAAATAGCCTCTGTGTGTCTGTCTATATATGTTGTGTGTCTATGGCATTGAATGTTTGCCATGTATATGTACATTGTGATTCGCCCTGCGGGGTGAGAAGGTGAATACTGTCAATAAATAAATACTGTAAATAAATAAATAGTGTAAATAAATAAATAAATAATGTAAATAAATAATGTAAATAAATAATGTAAATAAATAAATAATGTGGATTATCTGTTTCTGACCCATGTTTGCCTTCTTGCTTGCTTTCAGGTGGCCGCCTTCCTTTTCCCAAGGACGTGGAAGGACCCTGGGACCTACAGGCTGACCCTAAGAGTGACCGCTGCTTGACCCCGGCCAGCGATGGAGAGGGTGAGAATGGGGGGGCATCACAATAATTACAACCTATTTTAGGGGACCTGTTGCTCCCCACAGCCCTTAAAGGGCTGAGAATTGCGGTATATAAGCGCAGTAATAAATAAAATAAATAAACTCTCTGTGTAGTAAACTCTCATTTAACCAGAACCCCATGGAGATTCCGGTTGCTTGAGAGTTAGCATTAGAAATAGCTCATAACTCATTCTGGACCCTGATATCCGTATTACAAGACAGTCATTCAAAGCAAATTAAGGCTGGGCCTACACTGTTGTATAATCTGGGTTATCTAAGCAGAAAATCCACATTATGTGATTTGAACTGGATTATTTTAGTCTACACTGCCATATAATCGAGTTCAAAGCAGTTAATGTGGATTTTATACAGCTGTAGAGAAGGGGCCACTGTTTCTGAATCCAGATTATCTGATTTGAACTGGATTATATGAGTCTAAACTTGGTCCCTTTCTACACGGCGGTATAAAATCCACATTATCTGCTTTGAACTGGATTATATGGCAGTGAGGACTCTAAAATCCACATTATCGGCTTTGAACTGGATTATATCGCAGTGTGGACTTTAAAATCCACATTATCGGCTTTGAACTGGATTATATGAGTCCTCACTGCCGTATAATCCAGTTCAAAGCAGATAATGTGGATTTTACACAGCCGTGTCGAAGGGGACCCAGTATCTGAATCCAGATTATCTGATTTGAACTGGATTATCTTAGTATACACTGCCATATAATCCCGTTCTATCCTACTCGGCCAATGAGGGATCACCTAAGTAAGTAAGTAAGTATAATCCAGTTCAAAGCAAATAATGTGGATTTTATACAGAAGTGTAGAAGGGGATCCAGTTTCTGAATCCAGATTATCTGATTTGAACTGGATTATTTGAGTCTACATAGTCATATAATCCAGTTCGAAGCAGGTAATGTGGATTTTATACAGCTGTGTAGAAGGGGACCCAGTTCCTGAATCCAGATTATCTTATTTGGACTGGATTATTTTAGTCTACACTGCCATATAATCCAGTTCAAAATCGATAATGTGGATTTTATACTGCTGTGTAGAAGGGGACCCAGTTTCTGTATCCAGATTATCTTATTTGAACTGGATTATTTTAGTCTACACTGTCATATAATCCAGTTCAAAGCAGATAATGTGGATTTTATACAACTGCGGATAAGGGGACCCAGTTTCTGAATCCACATTATCTGATTTGAACTGGATTATTTTAGTCTACACTGCCATATAATGCAGTTCAAAGCAGATAATGTGGTTTTTATACAACTGTGTAAAAGCAGACCCGGTTTCTGAATGCAATTATCTGATTTGACCTGGATTATTTGAGTCTTCTCTTCCTCAAACAGGGGAGTGCCAGAGCAGCCTCCACCTTTGCGCCCTCATGAAGCTCGTCCAGGAGATCCCCGAATTCCTCTGCAAGCAAAACAAGGACCCCCAAAACCCCGTTTCGGCTTCCGACGGTGAAAGCAGCGAAGCCGAAGGAGCGTCCATCGCTGTAAATGGCCGCGGTAAGTGAGTGACCCTTGCAAAATGAGTCCGCTCTGGGTTTTCGTCCAAATTTGGAAAGAGTTTGTTTACAGTACCAAAGCTGGCTCTACACTGCTTACTGTATAATTCAGATGTCATGACTCGTGCTGAGGACCAAACGGAAGGGTTTCTTCACTGCCCTATATATCCCAGGATCTGGTCCTAGTTTATCTGCTTTGAACTGGATTATAATGAGTCTACACTGCCATAAAACCCAGTATATGGGATCAAATACTGAAGATTGTGTATATATATATGTGTGTGTGTGTGTACTCCAGTATCTGATCCCAGATTATCTGCTTTGAACTGGATTATATGAGTCTACACTGCCATATAACCCAGTATATGGGATCAAATACTGAATATGTGTGTGTATGTATGTATATGTATGTGTATATATGTGTGTGTGTGTGTATTCCAGTATCTGATCCCGGATTATCTGCTTTGAACTGGATTATATGAGTCTACACTTTCATATAATCCAGTATATGGGATCAGATACTGATACACGCACGCACACACACACACACATTCATTCACTCTTATACTCCAGTATCTGATCCCAGATTATCTGCTTTGAACTGGATTATATGAGTTTACACTGCTATAAGAGCAAATAATATGGAATCATCAACTAGATTATGTGACAGTATAGAAGGGTCTATGCTGCCATATAGGCTGGATGTACACTGCCATATAATCCAGATTATCAAATCAGATACTACAGGTTATTTGTTTTGAACTGGGTTATATGAGGCCCCTTCTACACTAACATATAAAATCCAGGTTATCTGCTTCAAACTGGATTATAAGGCAGTGTAGACTCGTATAATCCAGTTCAAAGTATATAAAGTGGATTATCTGCTTTGAACTAAATTATGTGGCAGTGTAAACTCATATCATCCAGTTCAAAGTATATAAAGTGGATTATCTGCTTTGAACTAAATTATGTGGTAGTGTAGACTCATATAATCCAGTTCAAAGTGTATAAAGTGGATTATCTGCTTTGAACTAAATTATGTGGCAGTGTAGACTCATATAATCCAGTTCAAAGTGTATAAAGTGGATTATCTGCTTTGAACTAAATTATGTGGCAGTGTAGACTCATATAATCCAGTTCAAAGTATATAATGTGGATTATCTGCTTTGCTAATCTGGATTATATGGCAGTGAAGAAGGGGCCTGAGTTCAAGGCAGATAATCTGGTTTATCTGTTGAAGTGTAGATGGGGCTTGAGCCTTTCTTCAGAGACGGGGGTCCAGGATTTTAGAAGCCCCCTAAAATCCAGGGCAGAGCCACCTTTGTTGTCATTGGCCGCTTCTACACTGACCAGGTAACGCAGTTTGGATTCCATTGATCTGTATGATGTGGTCAGTGTGCAATCCTATTTTATAATACCATTCAGTGCAGGTCAGTTAGCGTTATATGGTCAGCGTAGAGCCGGCCGTAGAGCCGCCAGTGCATTGACGCTGGAGAAATAATGCCACTCGCCACTATTTGGATGTCCCTGTTCCGACTTACATACCAACCTACAGAAACAATCCTGTTTGTAAGTTGGGGACTGTCTGTATTTGTTTTGTCCTTGAAGAGGAAGCTGCGGAGCCAAAGGAGAGCCAATGGGAGCCTTCGGTGACCCCGAGTCCAGTGTCCGGCCCCATTGAGAAAGAATTATGCTCAGAACCCCAACCCCAAGACACCTGCGCCAAAGGTGAGTCCCTAAAAGACAAGGGCAGGGGCCCGTTATGCTATGTGGTGACCTGGGTTATCAATGTCAGTTCCTCAAAACATGGGGAAAGTTTATTCAAATGTTGTCAAAGGCTTTCTTGACTGTAATCACTGGGTGTAAGTTTTCCAGGCTGCCTGGAAAATGTTCCAGAAGCATTCTCTCCTGACATTTCGCCCACATCTATGGCAGGCATCCTCAGAGGTTGAGAGGCCTGTTGGAAACTAGGCAAGTGGGGTTTATATATCTGTGGAATGATGTCCAAAGTGGGAGAATGAACTCTTCTCTGTTTGAGGCAAGTGTGAATGTTGCAATTGACCACCTTGATTAGCATTGAATAGCCTTGCAGCTGCAAAGCCTGGCTGCTTCCTGCCTGGGAGAATCCTTTGCTGGGGGGCTGTTAGCTGGCCTTGATTGTTCTTGTCTGTAATTCCTGTGGGTTTTTGTTTAGTGTTGCTCTTTATTTACTGTCTTGTAAATAAAGCAGCCAGGCTTTGAAGCTGCAATGCCATTCAGTGCTAATGACAACATTCACACTTGCCTCCAGCAGACCAGAGTTCTTTCTCCCACCCTGGACATTACAGAGATACATAAATTCCACTTGCCTTGTTTCCAACAGACCTTACAATCTGCTATAGATGTGGGTGAAACGTCAGGAGAGAATGCTTCTGGAACATAGGCAGACAGCCCAGAAAACTCACAACAACCCAGTGACTCCGGCCATGAAAGCCTTCGACAATGACGGGGGAATTCCTGATAAGAAACAATCAGGGCTAGCTAACACTTCCCAACAAAGGATTCCCACAGGCAGGAAGCAGCCAGGCTTTGAAGCTGTAAGGTCATTTAGTGCTAATCAAGCTGTCCAGTGGCAACATTCACACTTGCCTCCAGCAAACCAGAGTTCTTTCTCTGGACATTACAGAGATATATAAATCCCACTTGCCTTGTTTCCAACAGACCTCATAACCTGTTATAGATGTGGGTGAAATGTCAGGAGAGAATGCTTCTAGAACATGGCCAGACAGCCCGGAAAACTCACAACAACCCAGTGACTCCGGCCATGAAAGCCTTCGACAATGACAGGGGAATTTCTGACAGGAAACAATCAGGGCTAGCTAACACTTCCCAACAAAGGATTCCCACAGGCAGGAAGCAGCCAGGCTATGAAGCTGCAAGGCCATTCAATGCTAATCAAGCTGGCCAATGGCAACATTCACACTTGCCTCCAGCAAACCAGAGTTCTTTCTCTGGACATTACAGAGATATATAAACCCCACTTGCCTTGTTTCCAACAGACCTCACAACCTGCTATAGACGTGAGTGAAATGTCAGGAGAGAATGCTTCTGGAACATGGCCAGACAGCCCGGAAAACTCACAACAACCCAGTGACTCCGGCCATGAAAGCCTTCGACAATGACAGGGGAATTCCTGACAGGAAACAATCAGGGCTAGCTAACACTTCCCAACAAAGGATTCCCACAGGCAGGAAACAGCCAGGCTTTGAAGCTGTAAGGTCATCAAGCTGGCCAATGGCAACATTCACACTTGCCTCCAGCAGACCAAAGTTCTCTCTCCCACCCTGGACATCATTCTACAGATATATCAACCCCACTTGCCTAGTTTCCAACAGACCTTGCAACCTCTGAGGATGCCTGCCATAGATGTGGGCGAAACGTCAGAGGAGAATGCTTCTGGAACAAGGCCAGGCAGCCCAGAAAACTCACAGCAACCCTGCAAAAATTTGGGCTTTGCAGGAAGAACATCATCATTACAATAGTTTCCCATTAATATGAGTCTCAGCCATTTCAATGTAGTTTGTGGTAGTCACAAAAACAACAGTTTTTCCGAAGTGAAACAACTACTTTCAGAGTAAGGACCCGCACAACTAAACAGGAAATAACACTTTCAAACCAAGTCTGAATCCAAACCACTATAATTCCTGTAATTCCATTGCATCGAGTGGTGCCAGACTGGATTCCTTTTCCAGTAGACGCATCCTTGGTGTAATCTGGAGTTGTGTGTTTGCTTTGTTGTAGCAGATACAACTTTGGAGAAGGAGGAGGAGGAAGATATAGAATGCGGAGTACGGGAAAAGGGATCTTCGGACGGATTTGCAAGCGGAGGCATCGAACCAAGCAGTTCAAAGGCTGGCGTCGAGGAAGAACAGTGCCATAAAGGTAAACTTCAATGGAGGAAATGAGTCTACACCACCAAGCATGGGCCAACTTGGGCTTTCCCTCCAGGTGTTTTGGACTCCAACTCCCACAATTCCTAACAGCCTACCGGCTGTTAGGAATTGTGGGAGTTGGAGTCCAAAACACCTGGAGGGAGGGCCCAAGTTGGTCCATGCCAGGTCTACACTACACCACGGATGATGGACCCTTTCAAGTTCGGACTAAAATCCGGAACGGATTCCACTCCCTCCCCACTGACCTCCCTCTTCTCTCATTCCTGCTTTAGGAAGGAAACCGGAAGAGAAGCCCCTCCGCGGCCTCCTGAAGTGCCTGAAGGAGCTCATTGTCCATCATCCCCAACCAACGTCCCAAAGAGAGACCCTCGTCCAGAGGAGGGAAGTCGGGAGCGGAGGGTCCCCTCCCATCCAAGGTGGGTTGTGTCTGAATTGCATATAGATCTCGTTTGCTGTGACATACTGTGCTTTTGTGTCAGTATAACAACAAAAAAACAATCAAATGTTCTACTTGTATTGACATTACTAATGAATTGTCGTTATTTACAATAATAATAACAAAACATTCCAATTGTTTGTATCGATATTACTCTTGAGTTGTTTTAATTTACTACAACAATCAATAATTGATCAATTTTGATCTCTCAATATTATTGATCACTAATCGATCAGTCTTGATCTCCCAGTATTATTGATCAATAACCAATCTCTTGATATTATTGATCAACAATAGATCAACTTTGATCTGTCAATATTATCGATCAATAATAGATCAACCTTGATCTGTCAATATTGTCGATCAATAATCGATCGACCTTGACCTCTCAATATTATCGATCAATAATCAATTGATCTTGATGTCTCAATCTTATCAATCAATAATCGATCGACCTTGACCTCTCAATATTATTGATCAATAATTGATCAACCTTGATTTCTCAATATTATRAATCACTAATTGATCAGTCTTGATCTCGCAATATTATTGATCAATAATCAATCTCTCGATATTATCAATCAATAAGAGATCAACCTTGATCTGTCAATATTATTGATCAATAATTGGTCAACCTTGKTTTCTCAATATTATCATTCACTAATTGATCAGTCTTGATCTCCCAYTATTATTGWTCAATAATCCATCTCTCGATATTATCAATCAATAAGAGATCAACCTTGATCTGTCAATATTATTGATCAATAATAGATCAACCTTGATCTGTCAGTATTATTGATCAATGATTGCTCAATCTTGATCTCTCAATATTATTGATCAATAATCGATCAATCTTGATCTCTCTAGGGATTTCTAGTTCCTCCAGTGCACTTTTTGTAGAGATTCCTATAGAAAACATATCAACCAACTCCATGGATAATAATAGTAGACTGCTAAAGTCAAACCTGCAAACAAGGGAGGGTCGGTTTTGTTTTAATTTCCCAATTAAATATCCGAATTGTACGTGTCTCTACTCAGTTAAAACAGAAGCCATGGAAGAGGAGCATCTTGCCCATCATCCACAACGGGAAGGAGCTAGTCTTCCCATCCATCCCAATGGCAAAATCTTCATCTCCCATAAAGAGGACAGTCTGCTTTCAAGAGGTAAGTTTTCCATTGTCATTCATGCTTTTTAAAATAATAATAATAATAATAATAATAATAATAATAATAATAATAATAATCTGCCAGCTGCAGAAGGCCACCTTACTGGGATCTGCACGCATTATTTGGTGATACATCACACAGTCCTAGACATTTGGGAAGTGTCTGACATGTGATCCAATACAACAGCCAAAAGAGTGACCTTGTTCGCTGTGTACTAATCTTGTTGTGTTTCTAACAATAATAATAATAATAATAATAATAATGATTACTTTACTTAGGCGATCCCTCGTTGTCTGAGTAGGATAGTCTTCCAAATCAGTGTACGGGTGGGTCCATAAGTGGCTGTGGAGCCCTATTCTTGTTCTGCATCTTCTTCCGCAGTGAGGGCATTGGTTTCCAGGTGGAAGGCGGTCCCAGTCGGGGTTGGCTTGATGCACCTTCCTCTTAGCACATTTCTCCCTTTTGCCCTCCATTCGTGCCTCTTCAAATTCTGCAGCACTGCTGGTCACAGCTGACCTCCAGCTGGAGCGCTCAAGGGCCAGGTCTTCCCAGTTCTCAGTGTCTATGCCAGAGTTTTTAAGGTTGGCTTTGAGCCCATCTTTGAATCTGTTTTCCTGCCCACCAACATGATTTCCATTCTTGAGTTCGGAATAGAGCAACTGCTTTGGGAGATGGTGGTCGGGCATTTGGACAACGTGGCCAGTCCAGTGGAGTTGATGGCAGCCACCTCTCCACAAAAGTCAACATTGACACCAGAATTCAACACCGCCTGAGCTCTGCAAGTGCAGCATTCTTCGGAATGAAGCAGAGAGTGTTTGAGGACCGGGACATCTGTAGGGATACCAAGGTGCTTGTTTATAGAGCTATTGTCCTCCCAACCCTGCTCTATGCTTGCGAAACGTGGACAGTCTACAGACGTCACCTGCAACTCCTGGAATGATTCCATCAGCGCTGCCTCCGGAAAATCCTGCAAATCTCTTGGGAAGACAGGCAGGGAAAGGTCAGCGTGCCGGAAGAAGCAAAGACCACCAGCATTGAAGCGATGGTCCTCCGCCATCAACTCCGCTGGACCGGCCACGTTGTTCAGATGCCCGACCACCGTCTCCCAAAACAGTTGCTCTACTCTGAACTCAAGAACGGAAAATGGAACGTTGGTGGACAGGAAAGGAGATTGAAAGATGGGCTCAAAGCCAACCTTTGAAACTCTGGCATAGACACTGAGAACTGGGAAGCCCTGGCTTTTGAGCAGTCCAGCTGTAGGTCAGCTGTGACCAGCAGTGCTGCAGAATTTGAAGAGGCACAAATGGAGGGCGAAAGAGAGAAACTTGCCAAGAGGAAGGCGCATCAAGCCAACCCCAACCGAGACATAATAAAAAGCCATTTTTGAAAGCCATTTTTGCTTGATATGGGTATTTAATATTTTCTTTGATTTATGGTTGCTTTGGTTGTTTTGGTTTCAGTCTGCACTTAACAGCATTGATTGATTGTTATCAACTGCCCCGAGTATTGAATAGGATAGGAGTGACTTTAGGGTGAGTGTCTAATGCAAAATTTATGTAAACAAACCCTTGTGTTTCATTTTGATTTGGAATTTCGACAGTGAAAATCAAGCAGGAGATGGACAGCCCTTCTCTCCGATACCCAAATGGATTCGGCACCCATAATATCCCTAGAATCGTCGACCAAGGAAAGAGAAGCAAAGAAATGGGTTCCTTGGGCCTCAAAAGTAAGAGAGATCTTTTCTGGGTGGTTGCCTTGGCAGTGTTGAATGCAAAAGGCCTAGGATGGACTAGATGAACTTTGGAGTCCCCAACGGATTACGGACTGCCTTGGAGGGGTTGTCTTCTTCGGCTATCCTTAAATACAATATGTATGACCATCTATTGGGAACGCTTTGATGGTGTTTCCCTGCATGGTAGAATAAGGTTGGATTGGATGACCTTTGGGGTCCCCTTCCAACTCTAGTGGATGTAGAACAGGCTTGGGCCAACTTGGGCCCTCCAGGTGTTTTGGACTTCGACTCCCACAATTCCTAACAGCCTTCCGGCTGTTAGGAATTGTGGGAGTTGAAGTCCAAAACACCTGGAGGGCCAAAGTTGGCCCATGCCTGATGTAGAACTTCCTTGGAAGGTGGTGGACTGTAAACAGAAATCCTATGACAAACTTTCCCCATGATTTTTTTTATGATAGGACCAATTAGGAAATGCACAAAACACTATTATGACAAAAATTGTGTTATAATAGATTGTTGTAGGTTTTCTCGGGCTGCATGGCCATGGTCTAGAGGCATTCTCTCCTGACGTTTCGCCTGCATCTATGGCAAGCATCCTCAGAGGTTGTGAGGCCTCATTACCTCTGAGGATGCTTGCCATAGATGCAGGCGAAACGTCAGGAGAGAATGCCTCTAGACCATGGCCATATAGCCCGAAAAAACCTACAACCACCCAGTGATTCTGGCCATGAAAGCCTTCGACAATACATGTGTTATAATAGTGTTTTGTGCATAATATGATTGTGTTATAATGAACGTCTATCGATTGCTCCTTGGTGTTTTCCTTGCAACGCAACCCTTCTGCATTCCGATGTAGTCAAGCAGGAACCTAATGAGGATGGATTGGAGCAGCCCCCTTTTCCAGCCCAGAGGAGACCCCCAGGAGAAGAGGAAGAGGAAGGGCCGTATCCGCACTCCAGGGTCTCGAGTAGCGGCAGCGCAGAAGCCAGCATGGATCCGGGCCTTTGGGTCCCATATTCGGAAGGTGAGACATAGTCTTCTTCTGTGTGCCCAGGGGGGAGTCTCTCATTTGGTATCAGCCATGGATTGAGGTTCTGGGTTTGAGCCTGCCACTTTTGGACTCTCGCTTGCGGAGGTGTTCCAGCGAGTGTCTCTGTAGGTCTATTTCTTGATTTAAGTCATTGACATGCTGGCTGATACCTAAACAAGGGATGAGCTGGAGATGTCACTGCATTGGTCCTTTCACTGTTGGCTGCTACTTCCCGGCGGATGTCAGGTGGTGCGATACTGGCTAGACAGTGTAATTTCTCCAGTGGTGTCGGGCGCAGACACCCTGTGATAATGCGGCATGTCTCATTCAGAGCCACATCCACTGTTTTAGCGTGGTGAGATGTGTTCCACACTGGGCATGCAGACTCAGCAGCAGAGTAGCATAGCGCAAGGGCAGATGTCTTCACTGTGTCTGGTTGTGATCCCCAGGTTGTGCCATTCAGCTTTCGTATGATAGCTTTAACATAAAAGTAAAGTTTCAAAAGTTCAAAAGCAGAGTCTTAAATGCAAAGGCAGAGTTTCCAAAGTCCAAAAGCAAATAACATGAAGCATAATCCATAAGCATTGATCAAACAGGATTCCATGGCAGCGTAACAGAGTTCCAAGAAGCAAGATCCAAATCAAAGTCCCAAGAAGCCAAAAGCATTGCCCAAAAGCCGAAGCAATCCAGAGAAGTTATCAGGGTGTTTGCAGAAGTTGCAATGACAACGAGTTGACTTCAAACAGCTCGTTTAATATGCCTTCCCAGCATGAAAGCATTCCTTTGACCTCTAATCTCTCTCTTGTTAGCAAGCCTTGTACTGCTGCGAACCCTGAATTGCAAGCGATCCTCCCTATCTAAATCTTCCAAGCCTTCAAGGTTGGATAGCTCATTACCCTGAGAATCGGCAGGCTGAGAGCTCGCCTCCTCCACGTGCACCTGGGAAGTTTCACTAAGATCAGAAACATCTTCTAAAACAACATTCCTTGCCATGGGAAACTGAAATTCCTCGTCTTCAGTATCAACATCGTCTGTATCAACAACAGGAATATGTTCAGGAATCTGAAACCTATCATCCTCTTCCTGAGGCTCCAGCTGAGCCACAACAGAAATTTAGGTACGCTTAATGCGGGGAGGCTAATTTAACTAATTTACAATGCCATAAAAATCTCCAGCAGCGTGCAAAAGAATGAGGAAGTACTCCATCTGTGTCACAAGTGGACGGTGAAGCGACAGCTCTCCTTGGTGGCCGGAATTTGAACATAACTGTTACACTCCAGATCAGGAATAACCCTCTGACTTTAAAACCCCACTCGTTGAGTAGGGAAAACAATCCTTTTATTGAAGATAAGTAAAAGCAGCAAAGTAAAAAAGCACTTTAAAGGAATAGGTAAATCCAATTAGGTAAAAAGATAAGCAGGAAGAAATTAGTCCAAGGTAGAGTTCAGCAATGTCCAAAAGCAAAGTCCACAAGTCTCTAACAAAATCCAAAGAACCAGGAAATGTTGATCCAAGGCATGAGAAGGCAATCACAAGAGACAAAAAAAACTCAAACAGGAAACAAGAAATCTTTAAGCATGAATCTTCCAAGCAAGGCTTCCATGGGACAAGGACAAGAACTTATCAGGATTCATCTGGTAATATTTTCTATGCTTGGAACTTTTAAGCCTTTCCAAACACTCAGAAACTGGTTTCGCTTTCCTTTTACGGCCCTTATCTTTTGGTGTTGAAGCCTGGCAGAACGCCGAAGGCCTTGCTCGGCCTGTCTGTTTTGACTATTTTCCTGCCTCTTATCTATAAGCTCATTCGTTTCTGCAGGTGCCGAGTTGTTTTCAAGCCCCAAATCCTGGGAACCCTCTGGGAGCAATTCAGGGAGTAAACCATCATTCCTATACCCTGTAGGAACATTCTCATGGGAAACTACACTTTGAGCAGGTGTCTCTATGTCATTCTCTGCATCAATATCACTGACCAAACCCTGGCCATCTTGAACCACATTTACATCATTCCCCACATCCAAAGCACCCTGATCCTGAAACACAATCACAGGCTGAACTCCCAACAGATAACGCTTTATGCAGGGAGGCTAATTTAACTAATTTACAACGCCATAAAAATCTCCAGCAGCATGCAAAAGAATGAGGAAGTACTCCATCGGTGTCACAAGTGGACGGTGAAACGACAGCTCCCCCGGTGGCTGGAATTTGCACATACACTCATGAAGCTGGAAAGTTAAATAGCCTCTGCGTGTCTGTCTATATATGTTGTGTGCCTATGGCATTGAATGTTTGCCATGTACAGTGTTCCGTCACTTATCGCGGATGTTACATTCCAGGACCACCCGCAAAAAGTGAAAATCCGTAAAGTAGGGATGTTATATATGTATATCGCATTCCAAGGGTGAGGCAGAAGCGAAAAGAGATTTAAAGGCACCTTGCTTTGCAATCTCTCTTGATTATTTATTTATTTATTTATTTGGGGTTCTTTTACCCCGCCCTTCTCACCCCGAAGGGGACTCAGGGCGGCTTACAAAGGCAAAGGCACAATTTGATGCCCGCATCATAAAACAATCATACACAAAATTACATCAATTCACAGTTAACAACAATTCATGCATTGTAACCATAAAATCAATAAAATCAATAAAACCAATACAAACCCAATTTCTCCTCTTGCATGGTCAGCGTTCGCTAACTCATAGATCTAGTTTTCCGTTCCACTTCATCAATCCTGTTGGTCTTACTCGCCTGATTGTCTAATTTAATTGCCAGAGTGCCCAAAGGCCTGGTCCCGTAACCACATCTTCACCCTCCTCCTAAAGGCGAGGAGGGATGATGATGACCTAATTTCCCCCGGGAGTGAGTTCCACAGGTGAGGGGCCACCACTGAGAAAGCCCTGCTCCTCGTCCCCACCAGCCTCACTTATGACAGTGGTGGGGTCGAGAGCAGGGCCTCCCCAGATGATCTCAGACTCCGGGTGGGACATAGAGGGTTGCCTCTCTCCCAAGAGGGAGGCTGAAACCCCCTTCCACACTCAATCATAGGTGGGATTACAACGCCACTCTGGGCAACGACAACCATTCATAAACTGGGAGGCAAAAACCCGCGAAACAGTGAGTCTGCGAAAAGTGAACCACGAAGTAGCGAGGGAACACTATATGTGCATTGTGATCCACCCTGAGTCCCCTTTGGGGTGAGAAGGGCGGAATATAAATACTGTAAATAAATAAATAAATAAATATTTAAAGGGAACTTGGAAGCCATTGAGAGAAATTTCTGGACATCTCTTTTCTGCAGAGTGGAGCCCGGCCACCAGCCCTCTCCACGGCCTCCTGAAATGCCTGAAGGGAATCCCTGTCCCGCGGCCCCCCGTTTCCGGGATGTTCTTGGGGAAAAGAGGGGCAGGAGAAGGGAAAGAGAGGAGGAAAGGAGGAAGAAGGGCAAGGCTGGGTAAGTCGGCAATGCAGGGAGGAGGAACTGGGCGCAAAACGTTGGAGGAAGCGCTTCTGTAAGCAAATGCAGTTTGTGCTCTATTTTAGAGAAGAATAATCTGTACTTTTGAGACTATAGGCTAGTCTTGAGCCCAGACCCGTTTTTAGCCTTTGGCCAATCCGGCTTCGGTTTGTTCGGGTGTCTGTAACAGCAAGGGACCAGCCATCACAGATTCCCATCCAAAATGGGACCACGTGGCAGCCAATCTCAGTTCCTCCTCCCCTATTCAGCACCACAGTTTAATCTTGTTGATTTTCCTTTTGTTTTCCTTTATTTTCTTGATTTTTTTTATTCAGTGGGACTAAATGGGAATTGGGGACGTGTGGGTGGGTGCGTGTACGCATTTCAGCTTTTGATCTACTAAAATTTTCATGTTTCCAAACTGCTAGATTGCCAGAAACTGGGGCTAACATTGGGAGCTCACCCCGCTCTGTGGATTTGAACTGCTGACCTTCCAGTCGGCAAGTTCAGCAGCTAGGTGGTTTAACTTGCTGCACCACCGCAACCCCTAGCTATTATTTTTTATCGATTAAATTCCTTATTTGCCTTGTCCTTTTCATACCATAGATAGGCAAAGTTAATTTTATGAATGAACTGTGCCCTGCTTTGAATGTCAAAAGTCTCCGTACCATAATGCATTTCAGTTCATCCATTTTGCAATCGTCCTGTTCTTCTTTCTTCAGCTTTCTATCCAGCTCAAACACTTATATTTACTTCAGAAGCATTTTTGGCCAATGCAGAATGTCAACATTCCAACTTAGACACTCACAGTTTTAAATCCTTGGTGTTTACCGTAAAAATGAGCCATGTCTCAGTCTTGCATGGCACTTTCTTCTGTCCACCCAGCAGGGTGTCTTGATCAAATAAACCTATTGAAAATTAGAATCATAGAATCAAGGAGTTGGAAGAGACCTCCTGGGCCATCCAGTCCAACCCCATTCTGCAAAGAAGCAGGAATATTGCATTCAAATCACTCCTGACAGATGGCCATCCAGCCTCTGTTTAAAAGCTTCCAAAGAAGGAGCCTCCACCACACTCCGGGGCAGAGAGTTCCACTGCTGAACGGCTCTCACAGTCAGGAAGTTCTTCCTCATGTTCAGATGGAATCTCCTCTCTTGTATAGCCTGAAAAACCTCTCCAAGGAAGCAGCAAAACAAGCTTGCTCCCTCCTCCCTGTGGCTTCCTCTCACATATTTATACATGGCTATCATATCTCCTCTCAGCCTTCTCTTCTTCAGGCTAAACATGCCCAGCTCCTTAAGCGCTCCTCATAGGGCTTGTTCTCCAGACCCTTGATCATTTTAGTCGCCCTCCTCTGGACACATTCCAGCTTGTCAATATCTCTCTTCAATTGTGGTGCCCAGAATTGGACACAATATTCCAGGTGTGGTCTAACCAAAGCAGAATAGAGGGGGTAGCATTACTTCCCTAGATCTAGACACTATGCTCCTATTGATGCAGGCCAAAATCCCATTGGCTTTTTTTGCCGCCACATCACATTGTTGGCTCATGTTTAACTTGTTGTCCACGAGGACTCCAAGATCTTTCACACGTACTGCTCTCGAGCCAGGTGTCCCCCATTCTGTATCTTTGCATTTCATTTTTTGTCCCTGTTGAACTTCAATTCTCCTTGCTTCCAGTGTTTGATTGGATAAAGAAACCCTGGAGGTTTTTGCTCCATTTGGGAATAGAGGGACATGACAACACTGTTGAATGGTTGCCCTAGCTCCATGCTATGGAATCCTGGGAGTTGTAGTTTGGCGAGTCATGTGCATTCTTTAGCAGAGGAGGCTGAAGTCCTTGCAAAACTCCCACGGTTCTGTAGCATTGGGCCAGTAAGTGCGGTCAAATTGCATTTGTTCTGCAGTGTAGATGCACCCTGAATTGTAGCTCTGTGTGTCAATGTAAATGGCATTCTGCTCAAAAATATAACACTGCTGGACTCATCCTGTCTTTCTCTTTCCCTCCAGAATGCAGTGAATGGGCAACCCCAGAGAAGACGCCCCATTGCCCCTCATCGCCAGCGGCATCCAGCTGTGGTAAGGGGTCTAAACACATTGCAACATTCACACTTGCTTCAAATAGACAAAGGTTCTTTCTCCCACCTGGACATTATTCCACAGGTGTATATACACTCCACTGGCCTGATTTCCAGCAGACCTCTGAACAAACCTCTGAAGATGCTGGTGAAATGTCATTTTGAAACAAGTGTAGATATTGCAATTAGCAAGCTTTTTTTTTTTTAAAAAATAAGTTTTTATTAAGCACAAAAAAGGTTTTATTTACATACGGTTTGCGATTCAGTTTAACTTTCTTAATTAGTTTATTCCCCTCATTTTGCCTTATTCTTACATTCTTCTTGACTTATCATACTCCTCAAACAAGTTCCAATTTGTCCATTTTGTCACCTTTCCTGAATTCTTCTTTTAAAAGTAAGTTAATTTGTCCATATCTTTTATTTCTCTCAATTTAATTATCCAGCTTTCAATATCAGGTGCCTTTTCAAGTTTCCAATGTTTTGCAAAAGAGATTCTCGCTGCCGTAGTCATATATGTAAATAATCTGCCCTTATTTTCATCCTGAGTCTGTAATGCCCAGAAAATAGTACTCTGTTTTTTTCCTGGAAGTTCATTTTAAGTATTTTTTGAGATCCGTCATGCATTTCTTTCCAATATTTAGAAGCTGCTTTGCAAGACCGCCACATGTGGAAAAAACTCCCATCATGGTCTTGGCATTTCTAACATTTTTTGGTACATTTTTGTATATCTGGCCTAATTAGCAATTAGTAAGCTTGAATAGCATTGAATAACATTGTAGCTGCAATGTCAGTCAGTGAGGGTATCTGCATAGAAGTAGCCTGGCCTCTGTTGCCTGGAGGCCCCCCTTTTTGGGTTAACTAGCACTTGATTGCTTGCTGTCGGGAGTTCTCCTGTTACTGAATGGTGTTCCTTATGTCCTGTCTTGATTCTAATGTTTGTTTGTTTTTTCATACTGGTAACCAGATTTTATTCATTTGCATAGTTTCCTCCTTTCGGTTGAAATTGTCCACGTGCTTCTTGTGGATTTCAAGGGCTTCTCTGTGTCGTCTTGCCATGTACAGTGTTCCCTCACTTATCGCGGGTGTTACATTCCAGGACCACCCTGGAATGTTTTTTCACTCCCTCCATTCTCCAACCTAATCTGGCTTCTCAGGAAAACTCCCCATTGGCCAAAGGCCATTTCCTTAGAGAACCGGTTTCACTATCCCTGGTTGCTTGGGAATCATCACAGGAATACAAAATACTGTCTAGATTTTCTGTGTTCTCAAATAATATTTATTTATTTATTTATTTACAGTATTTTATATTCTGCCCTTCTCACCCCGCAGAGGACTCAGGGCGGATTACAATGTACACATACATGGCAAACATTCAATGCTAAAGACACACAACAGATATAGACAGACAGTCAGAGGCTATTTAACTTTTTCTGGCTGCCAGGAGAGCTGTCGCTTTCATCGTCCATCTGCGACACTGATGAAGTACTTCTGCATTCCCCGCATGTTTTTGCTGGAGTCTTCTTTATGGCGTCGTAAATTAGTTAAATTAGCCTCCCCACACGTAGGTGGTACCTAATTTTCCTACTTGACAGATTCAACTGTCTTTCGGGTTGCAAAGGTCGACAACAAGCTACACAATTGGTCAAAAGCTCACTCTGTCCCGGGCTGGCTTCAAACTCATGACTTTTTGGTCAGAAGTGATCTTAATGCAGCTGACACAGCTTGTGGACCTATGGCATTGAATGTTTGTCATGTACAGTGTTCCCTCGCTTATCGCGGGTGTTACATCCCAAGACCACCCCGGAATGTTTTTTCACTCCCTCATTCTCCAACCTAATCTGGCTTCTCGGGAAAACTCTCTATGAGATCATGCCGAACGCACCTGGACTTCAAGGTCTTTCCACGAATTCTCTCAGATTGTCTAATTAGTCTATTTTTCACTCCCTCCATTCTCCAACCTAATCTGGCTTCTTGGGAAAACTCCCCATCAGCCAAAGGCCATTTCCTAAGAGAACCGATTTCACTATCCCTAGTTGCTTGGGAATCATCACAGGAATGGAAAACCGTTGGTTCATCAGGTGCTCTGCTATGGCTGATTTCTCGGGTTGAATCAGTCTGCAGTAGTTTTCGTGTTCCTTGATTCATGTCTGGGCATTGCTATGTTGGGTGGTCTCTATGTAGACTTATCCACAGCTGCACGGTATGCAATAGACTCCTGCAGTGGTGAGAGGACTTTGTTGACTTTGTTGACCACAACCGTTTCCCCTGTTAGGGTCGGGCAACGCTTTGCAAGGCCTGAAGGATCTCCCTCTTCACGCAATACCAAGCCAGCCCTGTTCGCCGGCCCTCTGCTCCTCCATCAGCAGCTCCCCAGACAGACTTCCCAGACATGTCCCGGAGAAAGCGAAAGGTATGAGATGTTGAGCATCTTTCCCATTGCAAGCCTTTCCCCCATGTGGTGCATTCCGCAAGGTCCTGTTTTCATTGGCAAACCTGGAAAGGTTTGGGAGAAGTTGTGAAGCAGCTCAAAAGTCCCATGCGATTCTAGGCTGCGTCCATTGGAGTATAATGTTTAGGTTACATGTCTCAAATGTATGGACTGAATTCATACCACAATGTCATTTGGTAATAATAATAATAATAATAATAATAATAATAATAATAATAATAATAATTTCTTATCTACCTCTCCTTTTGGCTCTAGGTGGGTCACAGTACAATCAAAACACACAAACATTATTATTATTATTATTATGTTTGTTTATATCCTGCTTTTTCTCTCCCTAAGGCAGCGGTTCTCAACCTGGGGGTTGCGACCCCCAGAGGGGTCGCCTGGACATTTCGGAGGGGCCATGAGGCCGCCTCCGTTGATGCCGCCCCGAGAGCACGGGCCAGGCAAGGGCTTCTTCACGTGAAGCCTGGCTTCGCGTAAAGCCTGCCTCACCTGCCTTGCTCTCTCACCATCCAGCGAGGGCGTGGGGCAGGCGAAGGGGCCTCCACGTGAGGACTGGCGTGGTGCAAAGCCTGCCTCTCTCGCCATCCGGTGTGGGCACAGGGCAGGTGAGGGGTTCTCTGCGCAAGGCCTGGCCTCACCTGCCTCGCTCTCTCGCCATCCGGCGAGGGCGTGGGGCAGGCGAGAGGGCCTCTGTGCAAGGCCTTACCTGGCGCGAAGCCTACCTCGCCTGCATCGCTCTCTCGCCTGCCCCAGATGGCAAGAGAGCGAGGCAGGCTTCGAGTCAGAGTGAAAAGTGCCCACATGATGTGGGACTAAGAGCAGCCCAGCAGCAGCAGGAAGAGGAGAAGCAGCAGAAGCAGCTTAGGTAATTCATCACACTATTTATTAGAAAAAGATAGTCTTTCCTTTTGTTTTTATAAATACTCCCATTCTCTGCATATAGATGAACTACATCTCCCAAACTCAAGGGCAATGCCTTCAAGTATTTTCTGTTGGTCATATGAGTTCTGTGTGACAAGTTTGGTTCAATTCCATCGTTGAACCAAACACACAACTCCCATGACCACAGAAGGGTTTGCTGGGCATTGACCTTGAGTTTTGAAGTTGTAGTTCACCTACATCCAGGTAGAGCACTATGGACTCAAACAATGATGGATCTGGGCCAAACTTGGCACGAATACTCAATAGGCCCAAACGTGAACACTGGTGGAGTTTGGGGAAAATAGACCTTGACATTTGTGAGTTGTAGTTGCTGGGATTTATAGTTCACCTGCAATCAAAGATCATTCTGAACCCCACGAATGATAGAATTGGGGCAAACTTCCCACACAGAACTCCCATGACCAACAGAAAATAATGTGTTTACTGATCGTCTTTGGCGACCCCTCTGACACCCCTCGCAACCCCTCCAGGGGTCGCGACCCCCAGGTTGAGAAACACTGCTGTATACTCTCTGGAAGCATCCCAGACTCCCATTGGTTATGTGTATTTCAATCTGTTTCTTCTTGCAGGACCTGGTCGATGCAGCGCCCCTCTGCAAGAGATGGAGAGATGCCTGAGAGAGCTGCCCATCGGTTCGCAAAGCCAGGCCTCGTCCCCAGCGGTCAGTTCCTCCTCCTTCGGCGGATCCCCAGACGGACTCCATTGCTGGACACCAGACGCTGGGAGGTGGCCGCGGAAGGAGGAAGGTGAGAGATTCAGGGGGCAAAATGCACCCTGGGAGATGTTTCCCTCCAGGTGTTTGGGACTACAACTCCCACAATTCCTAACAAAGTAAGGACTGCACAAATTAACAGGAAATAACACTTTTGAACCAGGAACAGAACATATTGTGACATAATATTGTTGTTGTGTGCACCCACGCAATGATCCATTTTGCAGCTTGGATAAATAAAAGCAAAACATGTTTCTCCATAGGAATGAGCCGCAACAGCACCCCTTTGCAAGACCTGGAGCGTTGTTTGAAAGACCTGGCTCCAAGCGGTCAACCCGGTTCGCCAGCCGTCAGTTCGTCCATCCATGGATCCCCAGGTGGACCCCAAAGGTGGACACCAGAGCCTTGCAGGTGGAGCCAGAAGGAGGAAGGTGGGAACAAGGATCGGTCACCTTGAGCATGGATTTACATCAGGCATGGGCCAACTTTGGCCCTTCCTCCATGTGTTTTGGACTTCCACAATTCATAGAATCATAGAATCATAGAATCAAAGAGTTGGAAGAGACCTCATGGGCCATCCAGTCCAACCCCCTGCCAAGAAGCAGGAATATTGCATTCAAATCACCCCTGACAGATGGCCATCCAGCCTCTCTTTCAAAGCTTCCAAATAAAGAGCCTCCACCACACTCCGGGGCAGAGAATTCCACTGCTGAACGGCTCTCACAGTCAGGAAGTTCTTCCTCATGTTCAGGTGGAATCTCCTCTCTTGTAGTTTGAAGCCATTGTTCCATTGCGTCCTAGTCTCCAGGGAAGCAGAAAACAAGCTTGCTCCCTCCTCCCTGTGGCTTCCTCTCACATATTTATACATGGCTATCATACCCCTCTCAGCCTTCTCTTCTTCAGGCTAAACATGCCCAGCTCCTTAAGCCGCTCCTCATAGGGCTTGTTCTCCAGACATTTTATCATTTTAGTCGCTCTCCTCTGGACACATTCCAGCTTGTCAATATCTCTCTTGAATTGTGGTGCCCAGAATTGGACACAATATTCCAGGTGTGGTCTAACCAAAGCAGAATAGAGGGGTAGCATGACTTCCCTAGATCTAGACACTAGGCTCCTCTTGATGCAGGCCAAAATCCCATTGGCTTTTTTTGCCGCCACATCACATTGTTGGCTCATGTTTAACTTGTTGTCCACGAGGACTCCAAGATCTTTTTCACACGTACTGCTCTCGAGCCAGGCATTGTCCCCCATTCTATATCTTTGCATTTTGTTTTTTCTGCCAAAGTGGAGTATCTTGCATTTGTCCCTGTTGAACTTCATTTTGTTAGTTTTGGCCTTTCATCTCTCTAATCTGTCAAGATCGTTTTGAATCCTGCTCCTGTCCTCTGGAGTCTGGCTATCCCTCCCAATTTGGTGTTGTCTGCAAACTTGATGATCCTGCCTTCTACCCTTCATCTAAGTCATTAATAAAGATGTTGAACAGGACCGGGCCCAGGACTGAACCCTGCTTGTGGCACTCCACTTGTCACTTCTTTCCAGGATGAAGAGGAAGCATTGGTGAGCACCCTCTGGGTTCGTCCATTTAACCAATTACAGATCCACCTCACCGTAGTTTTGCCTAGCAGCTGGAATTCCTAACAGCTGGAATTGTTGACGTCCAAAACACCTGGAGAGAGGGCCAAAGTTGGCCCATGCCTGCCATATAAATATACATTATAATATATAATTTATTATAATGCAATAATAATCATAATGCGATAATATTTATGACCTATCTCTTCTAGAAGGCCTTTCATCTTATGTTTACGTCCGTGTACTTTAATATGTATTTTGTAGAAATTTGATTTAATGGATTTTATAGGATGTTTTAAGTGATTATGTTTTAATGGGTTTTTAACTGTCAACGTTGTCTCCTCTGAGAAGCATAAGGCCAACACCACTAATTTAAGCCCAACTAAATAGCCATGAGATCATGCCGAACGCACCTGGGCTTCAAGGTCTTCCCATGAATTCATAATTCAGCATTTCTCAATCTTACTAATGCTGCGACCCCTTAATTCAGTTCCTTGTGTTGTGGTGACCCCCAACCACAATATTATTTTTATTGCTACTTCATAACTGTCATTTTGCTCCTGTTATGAATCGTCATGTAAATATCTGATATGCAGGATGTATTTTCATTCACTGGACCAAATTTGGCACAAATATCCAATATGCCCAAATTTGAATACTGGTGGGGTTGTGGGGATTGATTTTTGTCATTTGGGAGTTGTAGTTGCTGGGATTTATAGTTCACCTACAATCAAAGAGCAGTCTGAACTCCACTAATGATGAAATTGAACTAAACTTGGCATACAGAACTCCCATTACTAATAGAAAATACTGGAAGGATTTGATGGGCATTGAGTTTTGGAGTTGTAGTTCACTTACATCCATAGAGCACTGTGGACTCAAACAATGATCAATCTGGATCAAACTTGGCATGAATCCTCAATATGGCCAAACGTGAACAGTGGTGGAGTTTGGTGATAATAGACTTGACATTTGGGAGCTATAGTTGCTGGGATTTACAGTTCACCTGCAATCAAAGACCATTCTGAATCCCACCAATGATAGAATTGAGCCAAACTTACCAAACAGAAGCCCCATGGTCAATAGATGGTCTTTGGTGACCCATTTGACACCCCTCTTGTGACCTGCTCAGGGGTCCCGATGATGGCGAAAGTGCGAGGTGGGCTTTGCGCGAAATCAGGCCTCGTGCCGAGGACCCCTTGCCCGCCTCGTGCCCTTGCCAAATGGTGAAAGCGCAAGGCGGGCAAGGGGCGTTTGCGTGAGGTCAGGCCTTGCGTGAAGGAGCTCTCGCCTGGCCCGCACCCTTGGGGCCAATGGAAGTGGCTTCGCAACCCCTCCAAAATGGCCAGGCGACCCCCTTTGGGGTCGCGACCCCCAGGTTGAGAACCGCTGGTCTAATTAGTCTATTTTAACTCCCTCCATTCTCCAACCTAATCTGGCTTCTTGGGAAAACTCCCCATGGGCCGAAGGCCATTTCCTAAGAGAAACGGTTTCACTATCCCTCATTGCTTGGGAATCATCACGGGAATGCAAAACCTCATCTCTCCTAGCACTGACAAACTCATCACTTTGAAATCCATCAGGCCCCTCATCCTCCGACATGTCAGAGAAGTCAGAGAAGTCCTCAGCTGCTTGATGAGTTACATCAATGCTATAGAAACATTTGGCAGCACAGGAAAAGCTGTTGTTTATGATGACATGGAATGTTCTCATTATAGGAAGAACTTTGATGTTGGACACGTGCCAATAAGACTTTCAGGAGCAAAACGCTTGCTAAATGTTACCAATGAAAACTTTGGCACCCTTTCCTTCTGCCGCAGGTGGCTATTGGCTAGCTTGTCTGGGAGGAAGTAAATATTTAATGGCAAAAAATATTCCAAAATTTAGGGGGGAAATTATTTTGCCTTGCCTTGTCTCCATAGGTCCCAGCCACAAAGGCACTCCTCTGCAGGGTTTGGAGAACTTCCTGAAGGAGCTTCCCGGGACGACGAGGAGCCCCTTCCTGCCGGCCATGGGCTCCACCATTGGAAGCTCATCCAATAGTCATCCTAGGCAGAGCAGCAGGCAGTGCTCCGCAAAGGAGGAAGGTAATGCCATGACTCAATTTCGCAAGACACGTGGCTTTGGGGATCCCTGCATTGACAATGGGCTGGACTAGATACCATTGCATTAGGTCACATCCAGATACACTAGCATTCGATGTCCAGGGAGCCAAAGGGCCAAGCAGAGAGACCTTAAGCCAAGCCTTCGCAACTCAGCAGTAATAAGGGGAGGAAATTGAAAAGGCTAAGCCTCTCGGGTCTACAAATAGGATTTTGGCACCTCACGTTCCCAGCCAGGTAGAATCAATGATTAATTAGGATTCCTGCTGCTGCTGCTGCTGCTGCTGTTGTTGTTGTTGTGTGCTTTCAGGTCATTTCTGACTCAGTGCGATCCTTCCCTCTCTTTTTCCTCCCTCCCTCCCTCCCTTCCTTCCTTTACCTTTCTTCTTTCTCTCCCTTCTTCCTTCCTTCTCTTTTTCCTCCCTTTCTTCCTTCCTTTCTTTTTCTTCTTTTTCTTAAAATAAATAATTACTTATTTTTTATAAATAAATAAATCTTTATATCTATTTTTAAAAAATAAGTAATCTTTCCAAGTATTAGATTAAATTCTTATTAAGTATTCTAATTAATTCTTATATACATAAATATTCTTATCTTTTAAAAAAATCAGAATATTAATTATTTAATCTATTTTTTTCACTACCCTATTCTTCTATATTCCTAATTCATCGCCTTATCGCTATAATCATTATTCAATCTTTATATCGCTCTATTTTCTACAGAATAATTACTTCCTCTTTAATTTATAAATAAATCCATCACTCCTCTCTTTCTCTTTCTCTTTCACTTTTTTATTTCATTCTCTCCCTCCTTCTTTCTTCTTCTTCCTCTTCCTTCTTCCTTTCTTTCTTCATTCCTTCTTCCTTCCTTCCTTCTTCCCTTCCCCTTTCTCTTTCCTCCTTCTTCCTCCTCTTTCCTCCCTATAAATATGTGAGAGGAAGCCACAGGGAGGAGGAAGCAAGCTTGTTTTCTGCTTCCCTGGGGACTAGGACGCAAAACAATGGCTTCAAACTACAAGAAAGGAGATTCCATCTGAACATGAGGAAGAACTTCCAGACTGTGAGAGCCGTTCAGCAGTGGAACTCTTTGCCCCGGAGTGTGGTGGAGGCTCCTTCTGTGGAAGCTTTTAAACAAAGGCTGAATGGCTATCTGTCAGGGGTGATTTGAATGCAATATTCCTGCTTCTTGGCAGAATGGGGTTGGACTGGATGGCCCATGAGGTCTCTTCCAACTCTTTGATTCTATGATTCTATGAAAGGATAAAAATATGAACTTCTACACAGAAATTCAAGAGAGTTGATGGTAACTTCTGTAGAGAAGGAGAATATACGGAGAACACTTTCCTGAAACTGGTATTTCCAAGAAGTGAGAATTCGTAGAATTTTTTTTGACAGGGGGTCTCCAACTACTCTGAAAGTAACACATGAAACTTCCAGCAAATTCTTGGCATTCCTTGCTGATAACTATTTTTCTTTTGTCCCCAAAAGGTGAAGAAGGGAATGGGGGCAACTGCTTTTCTTGATTTTATTTTTATCAACTTGTAAAAATACATCAATAAGATTACAGAAGTGGGAAATTTGGGAGAAGGTAATAGTATGACACATACTCTTGATAATAGTAAAAACATACCGGGGTTGTGAGGAAGGATGATTTTTATACAAGGGTTGAATGAAAAGTAATGCCTCCACCTTTGTTACTTGGGTTGGAGGGGAATATTTTAATAAATTAAATGCAGAAATAATCCTTAGAATGTGCTCTTTAACTACCACTATTCACTTTTCCACATAATCACCAAACAATTGGATACATTTCTGCCAACAATGAACAAGTTTTCTGAAGCCGTCATGGAAGAAGTCGAAACTGTTTCCGCAACAAGCGTCTCACAGTTCTCTCAACATACCAGTCATGCACAGATCTTCTGATAGCCAAGTGTGCCGTCGCGCTTGGGGGCTATTAGTCTTAAAAGGAGGATGGACGTGGCATCTTTCCCCCAAGGGATTGCTTCTTGCCCTCCTTTAGGAAACTGGAACTCCCAAGAACCCAAAACGATGTAAATAACTCAAAATAAGTTTTATTTGTCACAAAGTCATTTCTTCAATGCAATAAACTGGAAAACCCTAGAGGGGTGAAGGAAAACACACTTTACAGTCTCTATTAGTCCTGGGACCAAGGGGTTTGAAACTGAGAAGCCTCACCAGGTTTCCTCTTCCTCAATGGTTGTGAGTGCTGGAGCAAAACCACAACCCCAATTCAAATGGCCTATTTTGAAGATTCAGGATCTTCCTCTGGTGCCAAAAGAACTGGCTTGAAGGCGCCTGGGTCTCCTCAGTATCGTCCAGGATGATCTGGACATAAAGCATGAGTCCCAGGGGAAAAAACCTCAGAATTGGTGCTAAGAGGTAACTTAAGAGGGTCCTTTAGAATGAAGTTTTTTACTCACGTCCATGTTGCAGGAACTCTCATGGCTGAATGAATAGAAAAGAGGAAGTTCTCCCCTCTTGCAGGAAGAGGTGGAGCCAAACAGTGCTGATTGACAGCTACAAGTAACCAATCCATACAAATATACAGAAACATGGAAAAAGGGGCAAGATTAAGCATGATACAACAGTTTAAATCTTACAACTAACAGTTCTATACATAGGTGGCGCCACTTGCGCCGTCACAGACCAGAAGATGAACTTCAGCCAAGAGTGTTATGCAGCAGCTAAAAAGGCCAATGCGATTTTTTTAAACAGGGTCTGGATGGCCATTTGTTGGGAGGGCTCTGATAGTGCCTTCCTCCCTAATGCAATTGGGCTGGATGGCCTTTGGGGATCCCTTTTGATTCTGTGTTCAGAAATACGGATTTCCAGCTGTTTCGCCCCTTTTTCACCCAGGCTCCAGTCCCGCTGGGATCCTGCCTCTTCAAGGCTTAGAGAACTGCCTGAAGGAGATTCCCGTCCGTGAAAATAAAATCCAAAATCCCGTCACGGTGTCATCCAGTGCCTCTGTCCATAAGCCAAGGAGGACAGAACTGACTTCTCAGAAGCCATTGAAAGAAGGTAAGAGATGGGGCGGAGAGCAGGCGGTGTCCTTAGAAATAATAGTAATAATAATTATATATATATATATATAGGGAGCCCCCGGTGGCGCAGTGGGTTAAAGCACTGAGCTGCTGAGCTTGTTGATCGAAAGGTCGCAGGTTCGATTCCGGGGAGCGGCGTGAGCTTCCGCTGTCAGCCCTAGCTTCTGCCAACCTAGCAGTTCGAAAACATGCAAATGTGAGTAGATCGATAGGTACCGCTCCGGCGGGAAGGTAACGGCGCTCCATGCAGTCATGCCGGCCACATGACCTTGGAGGTGTCTATGGACAACGCTGGCTCTTCGGCTTAGAAATGGAGATGAGCACCACACCCCAGAGTCAGACATGACTGGACTTAATGTCAGGGGACTACCTTTACCTTTACCTATATATGTATATATACACACACACACACATATCTATCTATATTATCTATCTATATATATATATATATATATATATATATGAGGGGTATTTTTTAAGTAAGGTCCGTTTTGTTGTAGACACTAGTAGTTAGTGCGCATACCGCAACGAGCGCATGCGTCGTGTACCGGCATGCCTCGGGAACAACTGTGCTCAGTTTCCGCTCTGTAGCTAACCTGTACGGTTCTGTTCTGTGCTTTAAAAATGTTTAAGACTATCAACTCACCCTCCGCATGTGAGGTTCGCTCAGTGATACGGTTTTTGTCAGCAAGGAACCTGCCTGCTGCAGAAATTCATCGACAGATTTGTGAAGTGTACGGTGATACTGTTATGAGTGAAAGCAAAGTGCGTAAGTGGGTACGACAATTCAAAGATGGCCGTGACAACGTCCATGATGAGGACCGCTCCAGTCGCCCTTCTTTGATTACAGACGATTTGGTGGCTTCAGTTGAAGCGAGGATTCGTGAGAACAGGCGCTTCGCAATAACAGGTCTCTCAAACGAATTTCCTGATGTGTCGAGATCAGTGCTTTACAACATTGTTTCTGAACACCTAAAGTTTAGGAAACTGTGTTCCCGTTGGGTCCCGAAACTCCTAACAGAGGACCACAAAAACCAAAGATTTGAGTGTGCGATCAAATCAAATGAACACGTCAAACTTCTCTGGGACTTCCGGATTCAGACAAACAGAGTTTTGGAGCACAACACTCCTGACCTCACAATCGTGTTAAAAAACAAAGTATGGATCGTTGATGTCGCAATCCCAGGCGAGAGCAGGATTGCAGAGAAACAACTGGAAACGCTGACACGATATGAGGATTTAAAGATCGAACTGCAAAGACTCTGGCACAAGCCAGTCAAGGTGGTCCCAGTGGTGATCGGCACACTGGGTGCAGTGCCTAAAGACCTTGGCCTGCACTTAAACACAATCGGCGCTGACAAAATTACCATCTGCCAGCTGCAGAAGGCCACCTTACTGGGATCTGCACGCATTATTCGCCGATACATCACACAGCCCTAGACACTTGGGAAGTGTCCGACGTGTGATCCAGTTCAACAGCCAGAGGAGTGTCTACTGTGGACTCATCTTGTTGTGTTTCAAATAATAATAATAATAATAATAATGAACTTGGGAAGTGTGATCCAATTCAACAGCCAGCAGAGTGTCTGCTGTGGACTCACCTTGTTGTGTTTCAAATAATAACAATAATAATTGCAATGACTCTGGCACAAGGCAGTCAAGGTGGTCCCAGTGGTGATCGGCACACTGCGTGCAGTGCCTAAAGACCTTGGCCTGCACTTAAACACAATCGGCGCTGACAAAATTACCATCTGCCAGCTGCAAAAGGCCACCTTACTGGGATCTGCATGCATTATTCACTGATACATCACACAGTCCTAGACACTTGGGAAGTGTCCGACGTGTGATCCAAGTTCAACAGCCAGCAGAGTGCCTGCTGTGGACTCATCTTGTTGTGTTTCAAATAATAACAATAATAATTGCAATGACTCTGGCACAAGGCAGTCAAGGTGGTCCTAGTAGTGATCGGCACACTGGGTGCAGTGCCTACAGACCTGGGCCTGCACTTAAACACAATCGGCGCTGACAAAATTACCATCTGCCAGCTGCAGAAGGCCACCTTACTGGGATCTGCACGCATTATTCGCCGATACATCACACAGTCCTAGACACTTGGGAAGTGTCCGACGTGTGATCCAATACAACAGCCAGCAGAGTGTCTGCTGTGGACTCATCTTGTTGTGTTTCAAATAATAATAATAATAATAATAATAATAATAATATCCAATTCAACAGCCAGCAGAGTGTCTGCTGTGGACTCACCTTGTTGTGTTTCAAATAATAACAATAATAATTGCAATGACTCTGGCACAAGGCAGTCAAGGTGGTCCCAGTGGTGATCGGCACACTGCGTGCAGTGCCTAAAGACCTTGGCCTGCACTTAAACACAGTTGGCACTGACAAAGTTACCATCTGCCAGCTGCAGAAGGCCACCTTACTGGGATCTGCACGCATTATTCGCTGATACATCACACAGCCCTAGACACTTGGGAAGGGTTCGACGTGTGATCCAATTCAACAGCCAGAGGAGTGTCTGCTGTGGACTCATCTTGTTGTGTTTCTAATAATAATAATGATGCAATATTTTTCAACAACAACAATCTATATATATAAAAATACTCTGTGCGTAATGAGTACCTTAAAAACAAAAGAACCAATGAACAAAATTACACCAAATTTGGCAACATAACGTCTCACAACACAAGGAGGGACCCTCACTCAAAAAAATATGATTTTGTCATTTGGGAGTTGTAGTTGCTGGGATTCATAGTTCACCTATAATCAAAAGAGCGGACTCCTCTGACCAACAGCACACTAGAAAGGTTTGGTGGGCATTGACCTTGGGTTTTGGAGTTGTAGTTCACCTACTTCTAGAGAGAACTGTGGACTCAAACAATGATGGATCTGGACCAAACTTGGCACGAATACTCCTTATGCCCAAATATAAACACAGCTGGGGTTTGGGGAAAATAGACCTTGACATTTGGGAGTTGTAGTTACTGGAATTTATAGTTCACCTACAATCAAGAGCTTTCTGAACCCCACCAACGACAGAATTGGGGCAAACTTCCCACACAGAACCCTCATGACCAACAGAAAATACTGTGTTTTCCGGTGGTTTTTGGTTACCCTTCTGACACCACCCTGGTGAACCCTCCCCCCTTAAGGCCACCCAGTTCAACTCCCTTCACCAGAGCAAGAAAACATAATCAAAGCCCTCCTGATAAAGGGCCATCCAGCCATATGCATATACACTCACAAAACATATACACAGAAAGGGGGAAGGAAGGAAGGAAGGAGGAAGGAAGGAAGGAAGGAAGGAAGGAAGGAAGGAAGGAAGGAAGGAAGGAAGGAAGGAGACGCTGAGGACTTGGGGAAAGAAGGAGGGAAGGAGAGAAGGAAGAAAGGTAGAGAAGGAAGGAAGGAAGGAGGAAAGGATACACACACGCACACACACACACACACACACACAAATAAATAAATAAATAAATGCAATGTTCGTTTGTAGGATTAACTCAAAAACCACTGGACAAATTGACCCTAAATTTGGACACAAGATACCTATCAGGCCAACGAGTGACCATCACTCATAAAAACACTGAAAAATACAGCAGAAGGGACATAAAAAGCCAGAAAAAAACAAAAACAAAATTACAACGCATGTGCAAAAGCACATATATATACACAAATACACATATATACACACATATATGCATATACACACACAAAACACATACACAGAGAGGAGGAAGGAAGGAGGAGAGGAGGAGGAAGGAAGGAGAGAAGGAAGGAAAGAAAGAGTAGAGAAGGAAGGAAGGAGAGAAGGAGAGAAGTGAAAGAAGGAGAGAAGGAATGAAAGAGATAAAGAGGGAGGGAAGGGAGGAAGGAAAGGGACAAGGAAGGATGGAGCCAAAGAGCAAAGGAAGCGAGAAAAGAAACAGGTAGAGAAGGAAGAAAGAAGAACGGAAAGAAAAAGAGGGAAGGAAGGAAAGAGGGAGGGAGGGAAGGAAGGAGAGAAAGAAAGGAGAGAAAGAGGGAGGGAAGGTTGGCCACAGCAACGCGTGGCGGGTACAGCTAGTAATAATATAAAATTATATAATGCAAATGCACCCCAGATCTTGTTGCATTGCAGCACCCAGCGCTCCTCATCATTGGAAAGGAAGCTGATGGTTGCTGGAGCCTGTGATGTTGTGGTGACTCTTCCTGTTGGCCTGTGTTTTGTGTTCCACTAGACAGCACCTCCGGCTCCGTTCCGGACATCTCTCCCCTCCATCGACTGATGAACTGTCTGAAGGAGATCCCCATCCAGAGGCCGAATTATCTCAAGACGCCGAGTGTTTCCTCTTCCTCTTCCTCCTCTTCCTCCTCCAGCTGCAGCGAAACTGAGAGGGAGCGGCAGAGTCCGGGAACGGGGCCCTGGTGGGACGGCGGACAAGGCAGGTCTCGGAACGGCATCTCTAGCATTGGGATAGTGGCATCAAGTTGCCTCCTTCTTTGGAGGCTTTTAATCAGAGGCTGGATGGCCATCTGTCGGGGGTGCTTTGAATGCGATTTTCCTGCTTCTTGACAGAATGGGGTTGGATTGGATGGCCCACCAGGTCTCTTCCAACTCTAGGGTTCTAGGATTCTATCTAGAGGAAGAACACGGAGGGCCATAGTTAGATGCACCTTAAGTGTCCAGTTTGTGTACTTCTTTCCTCCTCCAGATTTGTATCAAGGGCCAGGTGTGGATGAGTCTGGGAGACAGAAGGAAACACACCCCAGGAAAGTGGGGAAGAGCCCACGGGTGGGACTTCCTTCGGAGGAGGAAGTGGAGCTCCCACCTCCGGCATCCCCTCTCCGCAGCCTGCAGAACGGCTTGAAGGACCTCGCTGGGGGTCCACCCCCTCATCACAAAGTCCATTCATCCAAATCTGCTGGAACTCAGCCTGAATTAAGTCCTGAAGGTAAGTCCGGAGAAGGTGGCCTTGACAACCCTGGGTGCATTCACACTGCATTTTAACTCCATGCTATGGGATCCTAGGAGTTGTAGTTTGACAAGGCCTCCATCTTTGGACCGGGTTGTGGCACAGCTGGTTGGGGAGTCAGCTGCATTAAAATCACTACTGACCAAAAGGTCATGAGTTCGAGGTCTGAGTAAGCACCCGACCATTTGTCTACCTTGCTGTTGACCTTTGCAGCCCGAAAGACAGTTGCGTCTGTCAAGTAGGAAATTCAGGTACCGCTTTATGCGGGGGCGCTAATTTAAATAATTTACAATGCCATAAAACTATCCAGCAGCGTGCAAAAGAATGAGGAAGTACTCCATCTGTGTCATAAGTGGACGGTGAGGCGACAGCTCCCCCGGTGGCTTGAATTCAAAGCATACCCTCATGAAGCTGGAAAGTTAAATAGCCTCTGTGTGTCTGTCTATATATGTTGTGTGTCTATGGCATTGAATGTTTGCCATGTGTATGTGCATTGTGATCTGCCCTGAGTTCCTTGTGGGGTGAGAAGGGCGGAATGTAAATACCGTAAATACTGAAGAATGTCAACTACAATTCCCAAGTTTCCTTAGCATTGAGCCATGGCAGCTCAAGTGGTGTTGAACTTCATGCCTTCTACAGCGCAGGTGTACCCAAAAGCTCATGTGCCCGTTTGCATCTACATTGCAAAATTAATATGGTTTGGTACCACTTGAATTGCCATAGTTCTATGCTTTGGAATCCTGGGAACTGTAGATTTTTAAAGACCTTGGGCTGGCATCTTTCCCCAAACTACAACTCTCACACCTCTTGTGAAAAGATCTCCCTTGAAAATAGAAATATCTTGTGAAAATAGAAATCCTCAGGTGCAATTAGGGTGATGTTGGAAGTCAGTCAAAGTGGTACAAGGGGTGGATGAAACCCTGAAGAGAGTGTTGTGCTTATATTTAAGGCGTCAGAGGCAATGGATGCGATCTAGAGAGATGCCACAAAGAAACTGCATCGGCCACATCTGGTCCTTTGAGTAGTTCCTCCACATTGATCCAGAACTCCTTGGTGGAAAGAGACGCTGAGCGCCGGAACCTGGGACTCCATGCTCAAGGTAACGTGGCTTCCATTGTCCAACATCTCTTACCGTCAAGAAGGCCTTCCTAATGTTTAGCGTGGCTGCTGACGTCCCTCTTGTCTTTCCGCAGAATCGGCGACTGAAAGCAACCCCCTCCAAGGCCTGATCCAATGCCTGAAGGAGATCTCCACAAGGGGCCCCAGCCCCGGATCCCGGTCAGTCAGCAGCTCTCCGGCCAGTAAGGCCCAAAGAGAGCCAAGGCACGGACAAGCGGATGAAGGAGAGAAGGAGGAAGAGCTGGGAGAAGAAAGAGAAGAATTCCATGCCCGGAAAGGTGAGCTTCTGATTGTGTCAAGGCTGTACTACTGTACAGCAAAGTTACGAATAAAAGAAAACACGGGCAATGTCTCAGATTCAACACGCCAGAGATGGATCCATGACAAGCTGGAAGAAAGTGAACTCACTGTGATGATGATGATGATGATGATGATGATAGTCAGTTATAGGTTTCCTAGGGTTACCATCACCGGCTTTTTGTGCTTCCTACAGATCTAGCGGAGAACGTGAAGGAAAATCCCAGAATTGTAGTAGACTTGTTATTCCCAAGGAGGCCTTCGAAGAGGACGCCATCCCCTGAAGTTGGCAGCAGCCACAAAAGTAAGTCAAATTAAGCCAATTAAATTTAAATAAATGCTAGTAAATTCCCCCGTTTCATTGGCAGACTTATTATACTATGCTACACGATTCTTGTTTCTGGGTCATAAATGTCATTTCCTAATTGGTCTTATGGGAAAAGTTTATTAAACTACCAAAAAAATTGTCTTTGCGGGAGGGACACCCACAGAGGCACACGTAAGGCAGATGTTGTGAACAACAAAACCATGGTGTTTATTTTAGAGAACTGGAACAATTCAGGTATAAAGCTTAGCTGTTTCAGAGTATTGACTTAAAAGTGTGTGGTTACATTAAGCAGTTCAGACTTAGTTACACAGGAACACTGCTCTCTCCCTCCACAGAATTTACTAACAGGATTGCTTCTCTGAAAGTAATTCTAAACACAGCACAGATAGTCCTCTTCTGGATCTATCTCTTCACTCCTCCACCAGCTATCTCCCTAATAGCTGTAAAAATCCTCCCACTAGCTATTTCTGCTAGCCAACTGACCAATTTCAGGCCTCTCTCACTAACCATTCACCACTCCTAATTCCCAGCTCCTTTTTATTTGACTCCCCCAGTCAATCTCCTTTGACTCCCAGAATCAATCTCCCTGACAGGGTTTCAAAACCTTCCCTTAAAGACTTTTTTCCCTTTAGCCAAGTTAGGCTCCGCCCACTCTAACTCAGCCACTTACAGTCTTCCCTCATTTCCCTCCAAAGCTGCTCTTTCTAAACATGCCCCCCTCAGGAAATGAGTAATTAAAATCGATTCCCCCGGCACCCTTTCCAAAATGGCTGCCGAACTTCTTTGGCCTAATTTTCTAGACTTTTCCTAGCCTAACAGGTAGGGAATTCACTACACACGGCAAACATTCAATGTGTTGCAACTCAGGGTAGTTTCTACCTTGCTAAAAACACCACCACACACCAAGGCTGTAAGTTTTGTAGTTTATTGAGAAAAAGCAAAATCAAAACAGAGAAATAAAGATGCAAAAGTTCAATAGGCAAAACAGAGTCTTAAATGCAAAGGCAAAGTTCCCAAGATCCAAAGGCAAATAACATGAAGCATAATCCCTTAGCAATGGTCAAACAAGAGTCCATGGTAAACAGATGAAATCAGGATCAAAATCCAAGTCTCAAAGAAGCCAGAAGCGTTCTGCAAAAGCCAAGGTAATTCCACAGAAGTTAACAGGGAAGGAGCAACATTGGACTGACAGAAAATGCCTGTCGGCTACATCATTAAATAATTTTCCCTGACATGAAAGCATTGCGTTGACCTTTGGCTTCACGCTTGCTGGCAAGACGAGTGCTTTTGCGAACTCTTAATTGTAAATGATCCTGTCTACTCATTAATTCACTATTATCTTCAAGGCTGGACAACTTATCTCGGCCCAGCTGGGCCTGATCACCCTGGGAAGCAAAAGGAGTCAGAGGAGTCTCCACCTGCAGTTGTGGAGTTTCACTGTCTTTATCTAAAGGCACATTCCTTTCTCCGGGGAACAGACTTGCTGTTTCTTCTTCAGAAGCCACACTATCAGCCCCATCTGGAACATGTACAGAAATCTGTAACCCATCAACCTCCTCGTTATCCTGCAGAAAGTCAGGCTTAGAAGGCCCATCATAAGGCCCAGATGGTTCAGACTTAGGCTCAGACTGAACCACAACACAATGCCATTTTTAGACATACAGACAGAGGTAATTCAGCATTTTTTTCCAACTTTGGCTCCTGGAGGTTGCTTGATTCCGGCCACAGGAGGGAGCTCCTGCTTCATCAACTATGACGCTGAGCTTTTGATCGTAGTATGTCCTCCTTGCTCTTTGATTTCTGCCATTTTTATGGTGTCATAAATTAACCTCCTCACTTTAAGCAATCCCTAATTTCTCTACGCACAACTCAACTCTTTTCAAACTGCTTAGGTGGACAGTAAGCTGGGCTACCAAACAGTCGGGAGCTCAAACCCGATTCAGGCTTTGAACTTGCCACCTTCCAGTCGGCAGTGATTTATTGCTGCTAGTGATTAACCAGCTGTGCTACAGCCCGACCCTGCTACTTCCAAAGTAAGGACGCACATTTAAACAGGAATAACACTTTCAAAGCAGAAACAGAACATGTTACATAGTGATTTAATAGACAACCTAATTGATTTTAAAGAGTTGCATCCTGTCTTTGGGAATAAGACTCACATTACATCGGAGTCGATCCACTGAAGATTACAGGATTAGTTTAACAGGAAATGAGAGGTATACTGTTAGCCACTGCTAGACCTTTGGGTTAGTCAAGCCAAGTATCCCACAAAGAGTCCTAATGCTCTCCAGTTAGTGCCAGTTTTGTGTCTCGTGTCTCTGTCAGGTGCCAACCCCACAGTGATGTCCACCTGTGGCTCCAAAGGAAATGAACATCCGTGCACCAGGAGTCGGACTTCACCTGCACCGAAGCCTTGCGTGCCAGAATGGAGCGGTTCCAGCTCACCCAAAAGCGGAGAGAAAAGTCCCTTGACAACAGGTGAGGAGATGGGACTGCAGCTGGAAACAGGCCTTTGCGTACAGGCTGTCCCCGAGTTACATACATCTCGAGTTACATACACTATTTACAAGAACAAAGTTTCCATGGCACACATAAAATTCAACCTTCACACTGAAGCTTCACACACGAGGCCTTCTCATACTAAGGCTTACCTCACACACTAAAGCCTACCTCACACAGAGGCTTCTCTCACAGACTAAGACCTACTGTACTTCACACTGTGAGACCTTCTCACAGACTGAGACCTCTCTCCCACTGAGGCAAACTGACACAGAGGCCTAATAATAAAAATAATAAAACTTTATTCATATACCACTCCATCTCCCTGAGGGAACTCAGAGCGGTTCCCAAGTAACATCACAAAACATACAGAGTAAAAACAACATAACCATAAGATTAACAAACAAAATATAAGCATAAAAATTGTCGCCATAACACACATATATTAAAAGTAATCCTGCCTGTTCAAGACTGGTTGCAAGAACGAGGTTTCCATGAGACAAATAAAATTCAACCTTCACACTGGAGCTTCACACACGAGGCCATCTCATACTGAAGCTTACCTCACACACTAAGGCCTACCTCACACAGAGGCTTCTCTCACAGACTAAGGTCTACTGTACCTCACACTGTGAGGCTTTCTCACAGACTGAGACCTCTCTCCCACTGAGGCAAACTAACACAGAGGCCTACTAAGCTATAGGCACACCTGCTTATATAGAACCACAGCATTTGCTGAGTCATTGCATCCAGGTTGGACAACCACAACAACAACAACAACAATAATAATAATAATTATTATTATTTATATACCGCTTCATCTTGCCGAGGGGACTCAGAGCGGTTCCCAAGTAACATCACAAAACATACAGAGTAAAAACAACATAACCATAAGATTAACAAACAAAATATAAGCATAAAAATTGTCGCCATAACACACATATATTAAAAGTAATCCTACTTTTTCAAGACTAGTTGCAAGAACAAGGTTTCCATGACACAAATAAAGTTCAACCTTCACACTGGAGCTTCACACATGAGGCCATTTCATACTGAGGCTTACCTCACACACTAAGGTCTACCTCACACAGAGGCTTCTCTCACAGACTAACGTCTACTATACCTCGCACTGTGGGGCTTTCTCACAGACTGAGACCTCTCTCCCACTGAGACAAACTAACACAGAGGCCTACTAAGCTACAGGCACACCTGCTTATACAGAACCACAGCTTTTGCTGAAACATTGCATCCAGGTTGCACTAGTTGCAAGAACAAGGTTTCCATGACACGAATAAAGTTCAGCCTTCACACACATGGCCTTCTCATATCGAGGTTTACCTCACACAGAGGCTTCTCACACAGACTAAAGCCTACCTCACACTATGAGGTCTTCTCACAGACTGAGACCTTTCTCCCACTGAGGTTTACCTCAGACTGACTGCTCCTAAGCTACAGACACACTTGCTTATACAGAAATGCAGCTTTTGCTAAGTCATTGCATCCATTTAACCCTTTCAGTGCTTGACTCTCATTTTTGTAATTAAAAATACCTAGTTAATTTGTAATTTTTCTGACAATCCTCTCATGGAAGAGTTATTATCATGAGGAAAAGGCATCTCCACTGAAGCTGTATCTCTAATTTTCCACAAGTCAGATTTTTCAAAATCCAATAACGCTATGTAACGCAATTTTTGTTCCTTGGTTATAAATGTAATTTCCTAATTGGCTCTACTATAAAAACATGGAAGTTTATTCAACTGGAAAAACCTTGTTTCTGTGGGAGGGCCCAAGTTTGCCCATTCCTATAGAATCATAGAATCAAAGAGTTGGAAGAGACCTCCTGGGCCATCCAGTCCAACCCCATTCTGCCAAGAAGCAGGAACATTGCATTCAAATCACCCCTGACAGATGGCCATCCAGCCTCTGTTTAAAAGCTTCCAAAGAAGAAGTCTCCACCACACTCCGGGGCAGAGAGTTCCACTGCTGAACGGCTCTCACAGTCAGGAAGTTCTTCCTCATGTTCAGAGTAAGTATTACTATACTATAGTAAGTATTAATGGATTGGCGGAGCTATATGCCAGGAAAAAAAATCATTCCCAAGACATGTGGCTAGAAGGGGTTAAAATTACTAAGTGCCTAGAGAGATCGGACCAGAATGAGACCTCCGGTCAAGTGAGACAGATGTCATGTCCGGGGTGTCAACACAGATAAGCACACATAAAAGGCCTGACGGTGTGCTTAATCTCTTTCTTCCACCATGACCCCCGGAGTATGAATAACTGTATGTTGCACTCCAGGTTAGGAAGAAGCCCTCTGACTTTAAAACTCACCACACGAAGAGTGAAGAAACTTAGTAAATCTTAGTAAATAGCCAGAAGAAATAAATGCTTGTAAGAAAATAAGACGGTTCCCAAAAGTAATGTCCATAAAATAAAAAGCAGTAACACAAAACAATGTCCACACAAGTAATAAAAGCAATCCAAGACAGCATTAATCCAGACAGGAATCAAACAGGGTGCAAAGACAATCCAAAAGGCTAAAAAACTCCACAGGAACAAGACCCCTTGAACAGGATTTCCATGGCACATGAACTTGGTTTCCAAACGTTGCCTGATCTAACAGGTTTCCCCTTGAGGCAAACCTTATAACCCAAAACTCAGAAATTGGTTTCACTTTCTCCCACATTTACCCCTTATCAGACGAAGCCTTTCGGAGCGACGTAAACACTGAGTTTGCTGTCGACCCTGGCTAATCTCCAGCCACCTATTCTTCATCTCTCTATCTCGCTGCTCATTAATATTCCCAGGTGTCAGATTGTTTTCCAAACCCAAATCTTGAGAGTTCACAGAAAGAAGGAGTAAACCATCATCCTTAAACCCAGCAGGAATATTCTCATGAGAAACTGCCCTTTGCACTGAGGCCTCTCTGTCATTGTCTGCCTGAAAATCATTGACCAAACCATCTCCATCTTGTACCTCAGCCTCAGGACCATCATGTCCTCATCATTTCCCACATCACAATCCTGAAACACAAACACAGGCTGATTCCCAACACTGTAAATAGTTTGGAACAATAATAAACAGTGAGCCACCAAGAGCTCTTGGGAGACACAGATTTCCAGTGTGCTTGATTTAAGAAGCACAGAAGCAGGGGAAGAGCAGAGAGGCATAGTGAAGTAGGCATGTTACAGTTATCACTCCAAAACAACTACTTCTAAAGCCAGGACCAGACAATTAAACAGGAATAACACTTTCAAACCAGGAACAGAACATTTTTTTTCATATTTTGTTACATAGCGATTTAATGGGAAATGAGAGGTATCTTGTTCAGCCACTGCTGGACTTTGGATTGGTCAAGCCAAGTATCCCACGAGAGTCCCAATGCTCTCCAGTTATTGCTAGTTTTGTTTCTCATGTCCCCCGTCAGATGCCAACCCCACCGTGAGGTCCACCTGTGGCCCCAAAGGAAATGAACATCCGTTCTCCAGGAGTCAAACTTCACCTGCACCGAAGCCTTGCGTGCCGGAATGGAGTGGATCCAGCTTAACCAAAAGTGGAGAGCAAAGTCCCTTGGTGACAGGTGAGGAGAAGGGACTGCAGCCTGGCCGCTGTGGCTGTCTGGATGATGAATAAGCTGAGGATCAATCCTTACAAGACAGAGGTCCTCCTGGTCGATCGTAAGCCGGATCGGGGTATAGGGTGGCAACCTGTGCTGGATGGGGTTGCACTCCCCCTGAAGTTACAGGTCCGCAGCTTGGGTGTCCTCCTAGACTCATCGCTAACGCTTGAAGCTCAGGTGTCGGTGGTGGCCGGGAGGGCCTTTGCACCATTAAAACTCGTGCACCGTCTGCGACCATACCTCGTGAAGTCGGATCTGGCCAGGGTGGTCCACGCCTTAGTCACCTCCAGATTGGATTACTGTAATGCACTCTACATAGGGCTGCCCTTGAAGACAGATCAGAAATTTTAATTGGTACAACGGGCGGCAGCCAGGTTACTAATTGGAGCGACTTACAGGGAGCGGTCAAACCTCCTGTTTAAGGAGCTCTGTTGTCTGCCGTTCATTTTCCGGTCCCAATTCAAGGTGCAGGTTCTTACCCACAAAGCCCTGAATGGTTTGGGACCCACCTACCTGCCTGACCACATTTCTGTTTATGAACCCACACGATCTCTTCAATCATCTGGAGAGGCCCTACCCTCACTCCCGCCCCCATTGCAGGCGTGATTGGTGAGGACGAGGGAGAGGGCCTTCTCGGTGGTGGCCCCTGACTCTGGAACTCACTCCCCAAGGATATCAGCCAGTCCCCACATTGGCAGTGTTTAGGAAGAGCCTGAAAACATGGCTGTTCCAGTGTGCCTTCCCAGAATAAAGGAAACAATGCCCTGCTCTGACCAATTCCATGCAAAATGTCCTCAGAAGCACTTTAACTTCCCGTTGGGTTGGTCTCCCTACATTATCTTTTGAAAACCTCCTGCTTCGATACATCCTACCTCTGTTCATGCCCAGTGTTTATTTTTAAATTTTTAATCTATTACATCTGGCCCGGCCATAAGGCTTTAAATTTTGTGTTTTTACTTATATGTGAGTTATATTAATTGTACCGTTTTATTTGCTTACTACTTTTGTTCTTCTGCTATTTCGATCCCAAACCAAGTTGGGCACATTTTGCGGAACTTTTACAGAAGTGGGGTTGCTTTGAATCTGCCCAGGTGGCAAAAGAATGGCACTTAACATTGTAAAATCTTCTTTGTCCTCCCCTTACAGACAGTGTCGACAACAGCCCAGCTTCGGTGGCAACGTCCTGCAGCTTCGAACCACGAACCGAGCCAGGAAACCCTTCGAAGAAAAGGTGTCCCGACTCGTCTCCGTCCCAAAACAGTTGGGGAAACGGGGGCGAAGTGCATCGGGCCGAGCTGGGCCCCGTTTTGTCCGAGACACTGGGCCGGCTCTCCGCGGACATGAGCGCAGTGTCGCGAGACGTCTCCCGGCTGCAGAGCCACCTGGAGCAGCTGGAACAGGATGCCCGTGGTTGGGTGCTGGAGCTGGCCTCTCTCCGGATGGAGAATCGCAGCCTCTGCGAGTACGCCCGGCAGACGGAGGCCCGCTGCCGCACCCTGGAGAGCCGCTCCCGCCGCAACAACCTGCGAGTGCTGGGCTTGCCGGAGGGTGCCGAGGGTGGGGATGCCGTCTCCTTCTTGCGCCGGACCCTCCTTCCACCAGTGCTGGGGATGCCCCCGGAGATCGAGAGCGCCCGAAGGGTCCACGCCACCTCCAGACCCCGACCGCTGGTCTTCCGGCTGCTGCGCTTCGCAGACAAGGCAGCCCTCTTGCAAGCCACACGGTCACGGCCGCTTAGCTTTGCCGGGACTCCGCTTACCCTCGTGCCAGATGCCTGCCCCTCGTTCTCCCGACGCCACAGGGTCCCCTTCTCAGCCTTCCGGAGACCCCGGTGGGCCCCCGACCTCTGCTTTGCCCCTCGACATCCATCCTGTTGCTGCTCCCGGCCTCCCCATGGTTCGCGGCAACCGACGGCGTGCAACTCCTTAAGCGAGAGGGACAGCAGGGTTTCTAAAGGACCAGGAAATTGGGAGCCGGATTCGTTGTCAGGACCAAGGTGCCTCGGCGGGTGTCACGATGCAGGGAGTGGCAAACAACATGACCCATGATGCTGCTGCACTGCGGTTGGGTCTTGAAGAGCGGATAGAAGTCGCTCTGTGCTTACAGTAGATTTGGAATGAGCATCTTAGGCTAGATCTACTTCTCTATATCCTAGACAGCGGTTCTCAACCTGGGGGTCGTGACCCCCGGGGGGTCGCTGGGCCATTTTCTGGGGGTCGCGAAGGCACCTTGGTTGGCCTCGAACCCTCCGCCTCCTCAAAATGGCTGCCGGCCCCTGTGCCAGGGAAACAGCCAGGCTTTCCAGGTCAGCTCCTCCACCTCCTGTTCCCACAGGGCGTGAGGGTCGAGAGGAATCATAGAATCAAAGAGTTGAAAGAGACCTCCTGGGCCATCCAGTCCAACCCCATTCTGCCAAGAAGCAGGAATATTGCATTCAAATCACCCCTGACAGATGGCCATCCAGCCTTTGTTTAAAAGCTTCCAAAGAAGGAGCCTCCACCACACTCCGGGGCAGAGAGTTCCACTGCTGAACAGCTCTCACAGTCAGGAAGTTCTTCCTCATGTTCAGATGGAATCTCCTCTCTTGTAGTTTGAAGCCATTGTTCCTTGTCCTAATCTCCATGGAAGCAGAAAACAAGCTTGCTCCCTCCTCCCTGTGGCTTCCTCTCACATATTTATACATGGCTATCATATCTCCTCTCAGCCTTCTCTTCTTCAGGCTAAACATGCCCAGCTCCTTAAGCCGCTCCTCATCGGGCTTGTTCTCCAGACCCTTGATCATTTTAGTTGCCCTCCTCTGGACACATTCCAGCTTGTCAATCTCTCTTGAATTGTGGTGCCCAGAATTGGACACAATATTCCAGGTATGGTCTAACCAAAGCGGAATAGAGCATGGGGAGCATGACTTCCTTAGATCTAGGCACTATGCTCCTATTGATGCAGGCCAAAATCCCATTGGCTTTTTTTTGCCGCCACATCACATTGTTGTCTCATGTTTAACTTGTCCACGAGGAGATCTTTTTCACACGTACTTTTCACACGAAGGCTCCCCGGTCGGTCTGGCTGTCCAGGGAATCTTTGCGCTCATCCCTCGTCCCCTGCTGAGCTTGGAAGGGGCGTGGGTCGAGCAAAAGCCTCCCTTACGCTCTCGCTGTCCGGCAAGTGTGCAAGGCCGGCGAGGGCCCATTTGCACAAGGCATTGCCTTGCACGAGTCCTCCCTCGCCTCCCTCATGCTCCCGCCAGCCGGCAAGGGCATGGGGCAGGCGAGAACCCCTTAGCGCAAGGCCTTCACGCAAGGGCAAAATTACAAAGGAGCAACGAAAATAATTTTATGGTTGGGGGTCACCACAACATGAGGAAGCATATTTAGGGGTCACGGCATTAGAAAGGTTGAGAACCACTGTCCTAGCACATTTTGCTCTAGTTTTCCAATGACTATCTCATCATCGAGTCTCAGCCAATTTAACCTAGTTTGTGGCAGTTGCAAAAACAAAGTTTCTGGAGTATAACAACAATTTTCTAAATAAAGATTGCACAATGTATTGTCGAAGGCTTTCATGGCCGGAATCACTGGGTTGTTGTAGGTTTTTTTGGGCTGTATGGCCATGGTCTAGAGGCATTCTCTCCTGACGTTTCGCCTGCATTTTGGCAAGCATCCTCAGAGGTACTCCGAGGATGCTTGCCAAAGTGCAGGCGAAACGTCAGGAGGGAATGCCTCTAGACCATGGCCATACAGCCCGAAAAAAACCTACAACAACCCAGTGATTGCACAATTAAACAGGAAATAACACTTTCAAACCAGGAACAGAACATTCTTCAGGCGGTATAGACTCGTATAATCCACTTCAAAGCAGGTAATCCAGAGTCACATCCTTGGATATAGAGCAGTGTTGATCCAGCCTTAGGATAATCAATGCCATCGCTGTAGCCCAGCCTTTCCCAATGTGATACCTTCCAGTTGTATTGGACTTCCACTCCCATCGTCCCCAACCAACGAAGCATTCTGGTGGTTGCTCTCCAGCTCTGGGAGATGGGTTTGTGTGGATGGGGTTGAAAGAGGATCAGGCTAAAACACATTTTCCAAGATGTGTTTGTTTCTATATATATTTTTAATGTATTAAGTAAAGATATTTTATATTGGGGTTTTGTTCCTACGTCTGGTTGTTAACGTACCCTGCACACCTTTGTGGTGAGAGTTGGATATAAATATGAGTAATAAAAGAAAAATATTGAAATCTAAGTATCTGGTTGACGTGGTCGATATAAGCACCAGTCTTTACTTCTTGGTGCTGTTAATCCCTGTCTGTCTGTCTATTTTACTTACTTACTTAGGCGATACTTCGTTGGCCGAGTAGGATAATCCGCCAGTGTGGGTCCATAGGTGATTGTGGAGCCCTATTCTTGACCTCCATCTTCTCCCACAGTGAGGGCATCGATTTCCAGGTGGAAGGCAGTCTCGGTCGGGGTTAGCTTGACACACCTTCCTCTTGGCACGTTTCTCTCTTTCGCCCTCCATTCGTGCCTCTTCAAATTCTGCAGCACTGCTGGTCACAGCTGACCTCCAGCTGGAGCACTCAAAAGCCAGGGCTTCTCAGTTCTCAGTGTCTATGCCAGAGATTTTAAGGTTGGCTTTGAGCCCATCTTTCAATCTCTTTTCCTGTCCTCCAACATTCCGTTTTCAGTTCTTGAGTTCGGAGTAGAGCAACTGCTTTGGGAGACGGTGGTTGGGCATCCGGACAATGTGGCCGGTCCAGCAGAGCTGATGGCGGGGGACCATTGCTTCAATGCTGGTGGTCTTTGCTTCTTCCAGCACGCTGACGTTTGTCGCCTGTCTTCCCAAGAGATTGAACTGCAAAGGCACAAATCAGTAAAGGTGGTCCCAATGGTGATCGGCATACTGGGTGAAGTGCCTAAAGACCTTGGCCTGCACTTAAACACAATAGGCAGTGACATTACCATCTGCCAGCTGCAGAAGGCCACCTTATTGGGATCTGCACAGATTATTCGCCGATACATCACACAGTCCTAGACACTTGGGAAGTGTCCAACGTGTGATTCAATTCAACATCCAGCAGAGTGTCTGCTGTGGACTCATCTTGTTGCGTTTCAAATAATAATAATAATAATAATAATAATTGTCCGACGTGTGATCCAATACAACAGCCAGCAGAGTGTCTGCTGTGGACTCATGTTGTTGTGTTTCTAATAATAATAATAATAATAATAATAATAACCTAGTTCTCCATGCAACTTGAGGTGGAGTACAACATCATTAAAAAGGTAAATACACTATTAAGGTGCATACAACATGCATGGGAACCAGCCGTTAGTGAAGTGATGGTTCCGATGCGATTCAGGTTCAGGAAAATTTCCCGCTTGGACTACATGCCCCAGAATCCTCCATTGAGCGTGGGAAAACTGGGATTTGTAGTTTCCCCAAAAGAACTTTCCTAAGTTTTGCACTTCCAGCATCAAATGGGAACTTCATATCTTCCCCAAATCACCCAACGTTTCCCTTTTGCTCTGTCACTTAAATCTCTGCCAGTACAATGGTTTTATGCAAAGCGCATAAAGTGCCTCTTGAATGGCTCCTTGTCTCTTAAAATGACAGTTTTAAACAAAGCACGTCAATCAAGGTGGTTTTTTGACCTCTAGAATCTCCTGCAGGGCTGTTGAAATAGCAGGCGCCTCGCCAAGACATTTCCTCACCTTTCTTGGGCACGATGTGCTTTTCAGGTGGCATTTGCACACGCTTCCTGCTCAATCATTGCTCAAAGGTACATTGAAGTGAATGCAGGTGATGCGGTCTCATGCCTGGCACCTGTGACATCCCCTCTGCGGGCTCTCGGCTTTGGCCCCTCGTTGCAAAGGTAGCAGGGATTATTATGATTATGATTAACTATTTGTACCCCGCTAGCATCTCCCGAAGGATTCGATGTGGCTTACAAAGGCCAAGGCCTCAAAACACAGCATAAACAATACACAACTTAAAAGCAAATCAAAAACAATTAAAGCAATATTAAAACAGCAAAACAATAAAAACAATACACCAAATACAATAAAAACTGGGGCCGGGCCAAAGTAATGGGTACAGATTAAAAGTGCTGATGTGACAGGTGGTATATCGGATTTAGAAACAAACACTTAGAAACAAATGCAGTCATCGCTAATAGTCCACATTAATTTATCAAAAACAAGTCATGCCAGACTAATCTGATCTCTTTCTTCGATAGAGCTACAAGCTGGGTAGATGCGGGGAATGCCGTGGATGTAGCGTACCTGGATTTCAGTAAGGCCTTCGACAAGGTCCCCCATGACCTTCTGGCAAGGAAACTAGTCCAATGTGGGCTAGGCAAAACTACGGTGAGGTGGATCTGTAATTGGTTAAGTGGACGAACACAGAGAGTGCTCACTAATGCTTCCTCTTCATCTTGGAAAGAAGTGACAAGTGAGCGTGCCGCAGGGTTCCGTCCTGGGCCCGGTCCTGTTCAACATCTTTATTAATGACTTAGATGAAGGGCTAGAAGGCATGATCATCAAGTTTGCAGACGACACCAAATTGGGAGGATAGCCAATACTCCAGAGGACAGGAGCAGGATTCAAAAACGATCTTGACAGATTAGAGAGATGGGCCAAAACTAACAAAATGAAGTTCAACAGGGACAAATGCAAGATACTCCACTTTGGCAAAAAATAAAAAAAGCAAAGATACAGAATGGGGGGTGCCTGGCTCGAGAGCAGTACGTGTGAAAAAGATCTTGGAGTCCTCGTGGACAACAAGTTAAACATGAGCCAACAATGTGATGTGGCGGCAAAAAAAGCCAATGGGATTTTGGCCTGCATCAATAGGAGCATAGTGTCTAGATCTAGGGAAGTAATGCTACCCCCTCTATTCTGCTTTGGTTAGACCACACCTGGAATATTGTGTCCAATTCTGGGCACCACAATTCAAGAGAGATATTGACAAGCTGGAATGTGTCCAGAGGAGGGCGACTAAAATGATAAAAGGTCTGGAGAACAAGCCCTATGAGGAGCGGCTTAAGGAGCTGGGCATGTTTAGCCTGAAGAAGAGAAGGCTGAGAGGAGATATTATAGCCATGTATAAATATGTGAGAGGAAGCCACAGGGAGGAGGGAGCAAGCTTGTTTTCTGCTTCCTTGGAGACTAGGACGCGGAACAATGGCTTCAAACTACAAGAGAGGAGATTCCATCTGAACATGAGGAAGAACTTCCTGACTGTGAGAGCCGTTCAGCAGTGGAACTCTCTGCCCGAGTGTGGTGGAGGCTCCTTCTTTGGAAGCTTTTAAACAGAGGCTGGATGGCCATCTGTCAGGGGTGAATTTTCCTGCTTCTTGGCAGAATGGGGTTGGACTGGATGGCCCATGACATCTCTTCCAACTCTAGGATTCTATGATTCTATGTATCATAATGTGCAATGTGCAGCAATCTTAATTCTAATAAAGTGCTTCTGGGACTTGTTATTGGAGTTTTCCTATTCTGGAAAGGCACATCGGAACAGCCAGGTCTTCAAGTTCTTTCTAAAGACTGCCAATGTAGGGCCTGTCTAAGATCTTTTGGGAGGGTGTTCCAGAGTCGGGGGGGGGGGGGGGGACGGTGGGGGGGGGGGGGTGGGGGTGCGGGGATCGGAACAGCCAGGTCTTCAAGTTCTTTCTGAAGGCTGCCAACGTAGGGGCCTGTCTAATATCTTTGGGGAGGGTGTTCCAGAGTCGGGGGGGCACCACAGAAAAGGCCCTGTCTCGCGTCCCCACCAGATACGC